AGCCCCATCTTGCCACATTGTGGTCAGAAATGCTTTTATGAAAAAGTCTGACAGTTACGGATATTTTTTCTGACTGAAATCAACATATACTCAGATATGAAATCATCTACTTTAGAAAGAGAAGAGAAACCAGCTGCCACATCACCAGGGTTCTGTCTGCCCACCACCCTCTGTACATGTGATGGGGACACAAAAACTTCAGTTTTGGCACAAGTGTCTGTATGTGCTCTAACAATTTCAGCTCAGTCTCGTGCCTCGCTGCTATTCCATTTGCCCACTGTTGTACCTGATTTACCCTTGCCCTTCAAAACACAGATGGGATTCCTGCTTTGCACCTGCACCTCTTTCCCTGGCTGCCAAAGAGAGCATAGTTTAATGGATGAGCTGAACTCTGTCTGTCCTGCCTGGATGGTAGGTGGTGACGTAAGTGTGCATAATTGGAATTCATCGATTTCCCTGGAGTGCAGAATTGAAAGGCAGGAGGTTAAGCCAGCAGGATATGTGCTCTTGTTCAAGAGGAACAGTGAAGTAAGGCAGCAAAAATGCAGGAGCAGCTTGCTTTGCTGCACCATGTAAGTGGCAGCAGCCTCAGCTGAGAATTTGGGAATTGCTTGGAAAGGGACTGATTTTGCAAACTAACCTCATAATGAAGGTTTTGTAGAGCGTGCCGTAGCTCTCCTTTAAAATAGTGGTGAGCTGGCAAGAAGTGGGAGTTAAAAAGTGGAGATTAAAGACTTTGAACACAAACTGAATGGCACTAATTGAGATTAATTCTTGCTTTATCTTGTCCAGCACTTCTTCAGTAATCTTTCATCTTGCTGCTTTGAAGAGTAAATAGATTTTATAGTGAGGACAGTATGTGCTTTTGTGGCTGTAGGATTGTTTCCAACTAAACTTGCCTTCCTTTTTCTTCTGCAACATCTCCCTTCTGGATCTTTGGGTACACTTGTTACCTGTATAACTCAGATTTAAAGATGCCACGTGAAAATCTCTGCTGAGTTGAAAAAAATAAGATCTAAGCTGGGTTGTCTACTTGAGTCATAACATTTTAGAAATTCTGGAGAACTATTTTGGCTCTGGAAAGAAAGATGAAGAATCATTGTAGAATGGTGGTTGTTTAAGCTGTGGTTGCTTTCTGCCTGCTTAGGCAAGGCCTAATTAACTGCTTTCTTGCAAACATATAATAATTGTGATATCTTTAGCTGCTTCATGGTACAACTTCACCCCATGAAGGACAGAACTTCACAGATGGTTTACATTCTCCTGAACAAAACCTAGTCCAGGAGAATAGGCATGCTCTGGAGCTCTGCTCTTTCTGCAGCTTGCTAGCTGAAGATGGTAAGTCACATAGGTTTTCAAGCTGAATTAAATTAGTTTTTTGACCATATTTTTGATTCAGAGCCATATTGGTAGCTTACAACTTTTTATTTCATTGAGAGAAACTCTCTAGTGTAAATAAAATATGAAAGCTTGTGAAATGTTGCTCTGAATTATTAGATAATTAGATGGTCACCCCTAAAAGAGAGCAGGTGTCAGAGCCTAAAGGTTCTTTTTTTTTCTTTTCCAAGTTACAATGCACCCAGTGTTTTGTTTGCCACTGCAGATGTGCTGTAATTATGTCTTGTTTGTATATTTTTTTCCCCCTGTGCTTGCCTCTGCCACTCCATCTGAAATTTGTGCAAGGAAACATGCCACTCACTTGGCACAGATATTTTATGTTCCCCATGTCAGGATTCCAGAGGAAAGATGATGGAGATTGTCTTTTGTCTTGTTCTGTAGCTGTGTGGAAGGGGGCTTGAGGGGAAATATCATGGGACACTTGAGAAGTCTCAGGTGCTGCCCTGTGAACTCTGAGACAAATATATCTTGTCAGGCACCTGACCAAGAGCTCTGAGAACACTCATGGAGAGTGGGAAAAATACTGCACTTGAAATGTTCTGTCCTTAAGCATCAAGCCTTGTGGTGATTTACATCCCACGAGCTTATTACCCTTGCACAAAAATAAATCTGTGGATATTTGTAGAATTTTCCTGCAAAATTATAGGAAACATAATCTAGACAGCTAAGACTTATTTCTCCTGCTATTTTTTTAAGCAGTCTAATTTTAAATGACTTGAACAACAGACTTCCACAACTTCCCTTGAGTGTGCCAAGTTGATAATAGAGCAAACATTGAGTTGTACTCTGTTCCACAACAGCCCTGATGTGGGCATGAGCTTTTTTCTGTACTGCTTTGTCACAGTTTCTGATGGAAGCTTTTTGGACTGCTCTGATTGATGTTTCTCCAGAAGTTTTTTTGAAAGCTAATTAGCTGTAGCCCTAAAAAGTGCAATTAAAATCCTGTAACAAAATTCTGCTTAGTGTACAGCTGCTATGAGTGTAAGAAAAAGTCAGTGATAAATCTACAGGTTTTTAAAAATGGAAGTTAAATATGGGGATGTTAAAAGAGGAATTGGAGCCTTTCCTAAAGGGACAGGCAAGATGAAATATGCAGTTTTAAAGATTTGTGTCCTTAAAGCATGCAGAAGGGTAGATCCAGACAAATAATTTTATTCTTTATTTGGCTGTTAAGCAGGCTGGCTTCTTGGCTTTGCACATGCCATTTCTAGTTAAACTTAGAGGTAATGCAACTTTTAAAAAAAAAGTAAAACAAAAAAAGGAACGTGTTTTCCCAGATGTGTCATACTGAGGTGATTGAAACTGCATATTTTTTAAAAATACTGACATAAATATTTTCTTCTGCTAAGACCTTGCTGATTTTTAAATTTTTTTTTCAACTTTCGCTGACTTTAAAAACTAAGTGAGATTGTTATATTTCTTACAGCCTCTGCCCTAAGGTATAAAGATATAGATATCGTCATGATTTGCATGAAACAGCTGAAGATCCCACAATTGCCTAAGGGATGGATCTCATCTCATCACAAACCTTGTGTTTGTTTTCCTCTTCCACTTCTCTTGTGATAGCTGTGCCATGTGGAGAGTCAGGTCAAATCTCTGATAGGACTGAAGAGTTGGCTTGTGTTTGCTTAGGCCAGGGGAGTTTCCAGCATGGTCTTCAGTTGAAACTCATTTCCAAAATCAGGGGGAAAGGAAACAAAATAGATATCCTAGATAAATAGATTTAAGCAAAGCACAGATCTATATGTAACCAGGAGATCCTGGTTGCATCTGCTGTTACAGCCTCCAGTTATGCATTAAGAGGAAGGTTGTGTGGCTACATTTCCGACCACAAAAGTGCTGTTCCTTTCTGCATTATCATCAAGTACTTAATAACACCAGCTGATAGGATTTAATAAACCCAGTGAAACCACAGGACTGGAAGAGAAAGTTGTAAAATTCAGGAACTGGTTTTGATGAACAAGCTTGTTGTTGGCCTTTCTCAAGGTGGAAATGTCAGCACTTCTTCTTTGGACATAGGTACTGAATTTTCTCTTGCTTGTTTTTGACTGAGAGTGCATTTAGAAGTGCTCAGTTTGAAGAAATACACACTTCAGTGATAGGAATAAATTTTGAAATTTAGGATGGAAACCTATCAAGACAAAAATAAAAGCTAAATAGACTGTATTCCTTATTCTGTTCTTGCACCACTGTAAATGTAGGAAAAGTCTAACACTTGATTCTTCTGAGATATATTTACAGAGTTGAGTGTAGCTGACTTGCTGGTGATGGATAACAGCTTTCCCTTTGGAATCTCCAGTGCCATTCCAGTGCAATTATTGCTGACCAAAATAGTCTGAGAAGAGTGTCCTTAAACTTTCAGAAGAAGATTTCTCTGTTCCCATGCTAGAAACTATTCCCTGTACTGTTCTTGGCAATTTGGTATGGAGAAGTGGTACTGCAGGGAATAGCTCTTCTTTCTAGTAGGGTTTCCTCTTTACTGAAGGATATAAAAACAACAGGGAGGAAAAAAATAGAAAAATGCCAACTGTGGATTTTCCTGCTCATTGTTTGTGGTAGATTCAAACCTTAAAAGAATAAAACCACTTTTGGTTGCCTTATCTCAAAATTTCATAAATAATGATCTGTATTATTACTGGTGATACCAAGATATGGAATAATTTTTTAGTGTTTTTAATTAAAAATTAATTTTAAAATGAATTTTTGGTCTTTTAAGTCTAAGGAAACCTACACTCCTTTTTCTTTCTATAAGTAGTGAACTGGAAAGCTCAAGGATACATTGAAATAATTAATTTAAATAAACTTTACAATGGTAAGAGATAGCATTTTTTAAAATTAGGCACTCCTATTCCTTCCAAAATCTTAAAGCCATAGTTAAGGGTTTGTTTTTGAAATGGACTTTGAAGGATTGTAGCAATTTGCAGAACCTTAATGTGTCTCCTTGGGATGTGCTTTTGATTTACTTTTTGAGGAACCAGGTCACTAAAGACAAAACTGCCCATAAAATCTGGAATAATTGATATTGAAACTGCACATGTGCAGATTTCTCTCTAAATGAAAACAAGCTTGTTTTAAAAATAGAATCCCTGACTTTCCTTTTTCTACAAGGGGAAGGATGAGGGTATGTATATATAGATATATGAAATGCAGAAGAAACTCAGTGAATTCTGCAATTGCTAGCTGACCTCTTTAGGCTAGAGACTTGATTCAAGTTTTAGCTTAAAATTGTTGGCTGGGATATTTTCTTTCAAGTTTCAGCATAAATTCCAAAGTTTTTGAGCAGGTGTGCACCATGACAGGCTATGGTAATGTGCTAACTGAATTTAGGCTTGGACCCCTACCTGGGCTGTGTGCTGTGAGAGGAGAGACACTGATCCTGTGCACTGAGGACACCAGAAAAGTTTTCACAATTTCAGTGCTTGTGGTATCCATGTCTAAACAAAGCCTTTTCTAAGTCTAGACTGAGAATAGACTTTTTTTTCCTGGGACAGACTTAGTGCTGCTTTCCCTGTTTGCCAGAGGATTTAAGTGGAGTTAGTTGTTTTCTAAATAAACACACACAAATCATTGCTTATTTTCTTTTAACAAAAGTTCTTTCTAGTACAAACCTTTGGCTGGAGAACTTCAGAGTTCCAGTGAGACCTGCTGAAACGTTGTGTGTGGAATAGTGTGAAGAAGTATGTTGTGTATCACCCAGCATCTGTTACCTCAAGTAAGCATTGCTCAGGATCAGACTGGGTATTTACGTGGCTCGTGATGGGTTTCAGGCCAGTTGCTGAAAGCAGTTTGGCTCAATCTCTCCTAGCCCTTGGCCCTTTGTGAGTGCTGAGGTGATTAACTTCACTTTTAGACTGCTGGCGGGGCTGCACTTCCAGCTTTGACCCGGTAATCTTCTCAAATCCTGTCTCCAGACCCTCCTATTAGGGGATGAGGAAAGAAGGACCCTGGGTGTAAGAGGACTGACCTCCTGGCTTGTTGAAAATCTTTGTAGGGTCAACCTGCTCTGCTGGTTTCTTTAACTTGTCTTTCCCCCATGAGTGACCTTTTCTTTCCTAGCAAAATCACTTTTTACCTGAGTACTTCTAAGTAGCCACCATGAACTGAGACTAGGAACAGTTTCTCATCCCAGAGGTGAACCTAAATTGTTGAGTGAGTTCTTTATATGTCAAAATTAAAATGGTAACCCTGCAAGAACTGAAGCCTCCTGATTACACCAAAACTGAATCAGGGGTCCTTGGGTTCTACAGACAGCTACTGTTTTAAATCATATTGACACATTGCAAGTCATCCAAAAAGTGGTTTTGTACAGGCAGAGGTAGATAATTTAAAAGTGAAGTGATATATTTTAGTCTGCACATATGATGTATCTTTCCTCCCAGCCTTGTAACACCCCCAGCATAGGATAAGAGAGTAATCTTTGGCTTTGAACTATCTATTTAAAACCTTGTGGTTCAGTTGCCAGCTGCATAGTTATTCCTTGTTGCCCCATTGCCAGGAATTACATTCTGCCTTTGGAAAACATAACATGGATTTTTTTTGATTCTAATTTTTTTTGTTGTTAGATGTGAATATCCTTTTTGATGTCATTAGGTACCTCTTATATTGCAGCTTGTAAGACACTCACGTGTTCTGGGTCAGCATCTGGACCAACATGATACTCAGTCACTCCTTGAGGTTCTCTTAAGTGTTATTTATGATTCTGCCAGTGCTTGTTTACTGCAAATTCAGATGTCACTGAACTTGACAGTAAGAACTGTTTTCAAGGAGAGAAGAGGCAGTTTAGTTAAAGCCTTGTACTAGGCGTTGCTTTTGTTTAAGAAGTAAAATGGGATTCAGAGCTTCAATATGATCTGCTAGAGAAGCTTCATGTGTTGTCTTCATGGGTTAAGCTTTCTTTTGTTTAATGTTTCATTTAGACCTGGGAATAAACAATTGAGTTTGTTTCAGAGTTAGGAGGAAATCTGAGGACCATATGAGTTTCATGAATATAGGGGAAAAAGTGACTTGCTGCTTTTGGCACCCTTGACTTTACCTTTTAGGGTGATGTGTGCTGGGACTTGAGTATCTATCCTCTCTTGTATTGCTTGGTTACATAAAAATTAATCTGCCTGGAGGTTAAATATGCAGGTCTGTCTGTTGCAAGAGATATTATGTTAGGCTTAAAGCATCCCTTGTGACTCCATCCTTGGAGATACTCAAAACCCTACTGGGCACAGTCCTGAATAACCTGTTTTAGCTGACTCTGCTTTGAGCGGTGGCATCAACCTAAGCAGTCTCCAGAGGTCTTTTCCTACCTTAATTATTCTGTGGTTCTGTGACTTTCAATTTCTTATCTTGACCTATTCCTCAAGCAAGAGTTTTAAACAATATGGATTGGTGTACTTTCTTAATCAACAGCCAAATCAAATTTCTTAGCTAAGAAGAGAAAAGGAAACACGGATGCCTTTCCCCCAGAAATGTTCTGTCTTTTTCTGCAGCCAAATACTGATCTGATGAAAGCTAATGGTGTGGCAGGCCTCCAGCTTAATCCTGTCTGGGTCACCTTAGTACTGACTGCAGTTTTTGAGTGTAGCCTAGCTGGGACAGACTAGTTTTTCTCTGCAGGCACATGGGCTGTTTTTCAATGAATGGGTTGTAACTATTTGTGTTCAGTGGAGAAAGCCAGGAGAGGAGTGTGCTGGAAGCTTCTCTGTGCTTCATTCTGTCTGTAGAAAAAGGCTGCTGAGAGAATGAGCCTCCCAGCCTGGTCATTCCAGTCAGAGAGAGTGAAAGCTGCTCTTGGTCACTTCAGGTGGTCATTTGTGGACATCACACCCACCACTTGCCAGGCTGACCCAAGGTAGGATTGAAATAGATGTGGGCACAGACTGTGTGTGATGTTCAGTTGTAAGTGGAAGTCAAACTCACCTTTAGTAATGGATTGTGTTTGTTTGCAGGTGTTTTGCATCCACACCTGCCTTGCTGCAGGTTGCTTTGCAGTGTTGTCAGCTTCTCCCACACATTCCCTATGTGGCTTCAAATTCTTCCAGGGAAAGCAGCCTTTAATAGCAAGGTACCTGTTTTGTTGGCCATTTTCATTAGATGTTACCTTGCTCTGTTACATAAGCTCATGTTAATGTGGCATGTGGTATAAGTAATAAATAGCTCTGTGCTGGAAGTGAACTGCCTTGTCCTCTGGAGTGCAGGAATGTGGGAGTCTGATGCTAGATCTGGACACACAGAGTCAGTAAATGCTGGGTGAGTCCACGGAGAGGGTGTGTGGGTACCACAGATGTTCTCTCCAGTGTGTCCTGTGAGTTACTGAGATACCAAAATGTTGAGTAACCTCAGGGTTACTCCCCACAGCCTACAGTGAGATGAGCTCTAGACCCTCCATGAAGTACCCTGGCAGGCTGTTTTCTCCAAAACCAGCAAGTGGGAGGGTGTAGGGGCACATGGAAGTACTGGCACAGGTAGTAGTCAAAGCTCCAGAAAGGAGCACCTCTTGTGTCCAGTGAACAATGCTGTATTGTTCTTGTCAAGGACAGAGTTTTACATTTCATTACAGCTGGATACTGTAAACTTGCTGCTTTGTTCTGTTTCTCTAAGATACCACTGCATCTCGAGCTAAGGCTGCTTATAAATGTGCCAGCAACCTTGGACTGAAGTCACAGACATGTCTAAATACTGATCTTTGTGTTAAATGTGAGACCCTGCTGATCTGCTTAATGGCTGTATTACTGGCAGATCTAAGGAGTTAGCCAGGGGACTAATGAAAGTGAAGTCACTGTTCCATAGCATATGTGGAAAAGGGAAAACCAAGCTCATTCAACATCAGATTAGAGCAATGCTGCATCAACCACACTGTCGGGGTATTTTAGATATTTCTAAAAGCAATTCAAAGACATAAAATAATTTTTCTTCTTTTGGGATAATGGACTCCTGGGTAACATATAATATATGCTTGGAGCACTTGGAACAGTACTTATCTCTTAAATTCTCTTATGTAATTTAGAGAAGTGATTATACCCGCATAGCTTGTAGTCATCTTACATTCCTTTATTAGCTGTGGGGATACAGATGATGCATAAATTGCCTGAAGTATTTCTTTGCATAGCATAGCTTTGCTTTTGAGGGAAAACAACATTCAAATTTCATTTTCCAAAGTAAACAACACACAGGAGCGTACCAGCAGCTTTTATTTAGCTGTTCTTCCAAAAGCAGAATTTTCTTGAAATTATGTGAACAGCCTTTCCAAACAACTGTTACCAACACTGTTTCTGGCAGCTCTGTGCACACAGGCAAAATCATACAAGTCTCGTGCCACCTTCAGCTTTCAAGGCTGTAATTCTTTGAAACAGAGGAAGAAGCAAAATTTCATCCATCCTGTCAAGGAAAGGGAGTTTCAAATGACAGGGTCACCTCATTCAAGTTTCTTCCCACCCCACACAACACTTGTGAGAGGACAGAGGGTTATAGAAATGGCTACAGTATCAGCTGCTTTCACAGAAATTCAACTTCATGCAGCTAAAGGCCTTGAACCCTATAATTTTGCACAGCCTTCAGTGAACCTTCAATAAAGCTGGTTTTTTTGCATACATGTTTGCAGTCATGGTTAGGAGCGTGTGATTCTGGCTTGGCACATCAACCGTGCACATATTGTCATGTCTGCATCTATACAGGAATATCAAAGCACTGGACTAGTTTGGAGGCAAATCCTAGCATGTAACCACCTGTTTCTTTTCAGTCTCAGAAAACTGTATTCTCTTGATAAACTGAGTAATTGCCTTGGGCTTTTCTTGTTGGAGAGTGCTCTAGAACTCCATTTCCCTGGTTTCAAATAGTGAGTTGCAGGACAAAAGCCAACATGTTTTTCTGCCATACCTGGAGGAGTTCTACCCAGTTTTTTATATTGATACAAGTAGGTTGAGAAGTAGAGGAGACTGGAAGGGCTGATCACAAGTGCTGACCACAGCCTGTGGAAATCTTCCACATGAAGCTTCAGCAGTCTCCTGGCCCATGGCATTGATATTGCCTCTCTTCTGTATCCAAATACCATATTTCTTTCATAAAGAAGACCAAATTGTGTTTAGAAGGGGATGAAGCTAGTTTGGGGGGAAGGGTTCCTGTACCTGCTCTTAAAGGATCAGGGCTGAATTTCTCTGTCTATGAGACCAACTCTACCTTTACATTGGTATTCTGTAGAAAGAACTAGAACTTATAGGATACCCGTGAAATTCAATTCAATAGTGTGAGACAATCTGATGGCCTTTTGCTTGGAAATAACCAAGAAAGGAGAAAGAGTGATTCCTGTGATCAATGAGTGCATTAAAATGTATGCTGGTTGTGGATTGTAGAGGTGGAAGAGACAAAAGCAATCCCAGAATGGGCAGGAGAGGGATGTACTGTACACCCTATTGTGCCATCCTCTTCTGAGAACTCATCTGGTCAAATACACTGTACAGCTATAATTCTTCTTAAGATTACACAATCTTCCCACCTTTCAAACTCCTAAACCCCATACCCAACATTATGCAGTTTTTCCCTTGGGAAACCTCAGAAAAGAAAGCCTATCTTAGTCCAGGAGAGCTTGATTTAACCTTAGCATAATGAAGGTGAAGGTATGGAATTGCCTATAAATATGTGTGGGAAGGGAGGGAAAGCTAATGCATAGGTCAGCATCATCACAGGAATAGAGAGGTATAAACTTGGCCTGGAAATTAAAAGAAAGCTATTGATCATAAAAGCAACCGGCTCAGGAAGAAATGTCTGAGTTGATAACAGAGATGAGACATAAAGCATTAATAATCTCACTGGCTACAGTGTGATAAGGGTGGGAAATTGCCCATTTCTATTAGCATTAGATCCTTCTGTCTGCCTTTTGCTCTTCAAATGAGCATTTCCCTGTTATTCCCTATAGTTACAGAACATAATGCAGAAATTACTGCAAAAGGTGAGTGCCCAGCCACTGGTGTCAGCCAGGGAAGGGAAATGAACCTTCCTTATGGCAATGCCCTTAATAACACACTTTAACTTTTGTTCAGCCAAGCAGTTGGGCCAGATGATCACTGTAGGGCCCTTCCAACTGGAATAGTCTGTTCTATCCTAGAAAATAAACAGGAGTGTTACAGAAATGAAAGGTTAAAAGCAAATGTTGCTTATTACTTGTGGTCACTCCCAAGTATTTCAAAAACCAAATACTGAAGAGTTTTCTGGTTTGCTCCAGGAAATAAGAAATTTTTCTCTACAGTTAGCCAGATCTTTCAAGTCCATGGGAAAAACACATGATAATTTCTGGGATGTATGTATGGGAAATGACAGGGGAATGGAGAGTAGACATGGATTTTACTGGTAGCTCCCAGTGTAATTAGAAACAAATTTACATTTCTCAGTCCTTAAATTGGAGAAAACTTAGCTTTCTTAATTGCAGCACTTGTTTCTGTAGGCATAAACTAATAGTAAATATATAGATATTAAATTCTTCACTGCCAGAGAGAGAGTAGTTTTCAGGTGTTGAAGACCCCAGGTTGTTCTATCCAGTTAATACTCTTCAGGAGCACTGTATGGATTTCCAAGAAAGCAGCTATTGTCATGCTATGGTGCTGCCACCACTCTTGGTCATTCCCAGTTTGCAGAGAGAGCTCTGTTCTGCTGTCAGTCTATTCTGGCTGATTGAACCTGAAAGCAGAAGTTGAAGAGAATACTTCTTAATTTCAATATTTTTCTTTTCCAGATTCAGCAGCAGCAGCCTGTTGGTATTGTCACTGAGAAAGTCACAAGTGACCTGCAGTCTCTTGTGCTCCTTCTTGCTGCATTAAAAGCATTTTACTTCCAGCTATCTGCCTCAGACCCTCAGATATCCTTGCAGAGGAATGGCCTTTATCCAAAGGAGGATGGAATTAAAAAGACTAGACAGAGCAGTCCTTGAGGATGAAAGGCAAAGAGAGATGTGTCCTTGCTACTAGGAATAAATTTTGCTGATGGCATCCTTACACTGAGGTTGGATTTTATCTCTGACTAATTCTTACCAAGTCTTTTCATGTCCCCAGCAGTGCAGCTGTACTTGAGGAGGGTGGTAATGTCTGCCTCTGGAAGTGATGCCTGCCATCTTCCTCCAGGAGCTGCTTGCCAAAGCCTCGGGGAGAGGAGAGTAAATCTCAGAACCTCCTCCACCTCTTTCCTCTGATTTCCTAAGAGATTTTCGTTTGCTCCAGGCACTGAGCTTGGCATGGTCTTTGCTGAGAGAGGCATCCTGCGGGTTGCAGGGCTGCAGGGAGAGCGCTATCTGGGCAATTGAAACTGCTCAGTGTTTACTGAGAGTCAAATGTCCAGCCAAATGGGGAAGGTGCTGCCTGGTTACTGTTTATAACCTGTGTAATAATATGTGCAATTGGTATTAGCTGATATGCGGAGCTGAACTGCAAGTTTGATGTTGAGAGTTTTGGGTTTGCTGCCTATAGTTTGGTTTATTTTCAAGATTCTGGTGTATTTTGCAGCATGAGAAAATGCAAACTCTTTATTCTGGCTGTTTGTCAAGATTGAGCCAAAATGTTGAACTGGTTATTTGCTTACAATCCATTCCTGTCTCCTGGTAAAAGCTTTCCTTGTATCTATGAGGAAAATGAATTATGGGGGAGCATTAGACCCAGCAGATTGTGTAACAGAGACAAACTTTCATTAAGTTGCTAGATTTCATCAGTTGTCATTTGGTGGTGTCACAGTTTATTAGTTGCTAAGGGTTGGATTTTCCTTTGCTTTTTAAAATTATTTTCCTTACTGAGGATTGTGGAGCATGCCAGAGTGCCAAAAATCTTGAAAAGAGCAAAGATTTATGTGAGTAAATTTATTGAGGGTTAATACTAAACGAAGTTTAACATGCTGTCAAGAACTCCAAGCATGATAAGAGTATTTTGAGGAAAGGATGGGATAAAGACTTTATATCCATCTGAAAATAAAGTCATGTCTACAGGAATGCAGCCTGGGAGAGGTTATAGAGGAGGTTTGTGGGATGTGTGGAACACACCTCAACCAAGTGATGTAATTAATGAAATAAAAGTTATAGGATTAATGGGTGGGTGAGTTTTCTTCCTGTGACAAATTTGGATTTAACATTGTGTCCATTGCATGTGTTCAATATCTCTCCATTTATCTACAAGCCCTGTGCCTTCAGAGTCTAATAAATAAGTTTTACTGTGAAAGTGAGGTGCAGCTCCATAGTGAATCTGACCAGAATGATAAGCCATGATGGAAAGTAGTCTCCTTCTGGTTCCTTTCAAATCCTGCTTGGTGCCCTGTTCAGACTCTACTCAGTCAACAGTGCTCTTGCTGAGGTGTGTAATTCTCCACCTCTGCAAAACAAAATGAAATAGCTTAATTTTATATTATGGTCTGATCTAGTGACTGATGTGGGAGGACAGTACCTGGCTGTGAAGCCTGTTCAGAAACAGCCTGATCTAACCTAGATGGAGTTTTGTTGTTGTTACCATTTCTGATTTTAGGTGTGCAGACAGACTGCAGAGCACATATTGTCGTGCATAACTTGGAAGGAGAAAGGAAGGCTGGTGTAGTTTGAGTTTCAGGAGCAGGGTACACCCATGAGTGGTTATAAACACACAGTGGGGTTTTCTTGGGCAGCAGGGAAACTTGAGGGTATCAGCCTGCCCTGGGGGAATTTAGGTCTTACTGGCCATGCATGGGCTGGGGTCATGGGCAGATTGAGCATTAAATAGCTGAGATGAAGAGTGACTAATTACCACTGCCCTCATCTGCAGGTGAGTCTTTGAGATGCTGTTCCTGGTTGGACTTCTCTTAAGGGAAAGGAGGTGGCAGTTCTGGAGGTCTGGCTTCAAGGGTTGATTTTTTAGGTTTTTGTGGTTTTTTTGATTCTGCATGTATCTTTTATATTGGAGGAATTATACAGGCTAAGGTTGCACCCATGGGTTATAGCATGATCTCAACCCTCCCTGAACTTGTCCTGGAATAAAGCTTGGGATTTGTTGTTTGTTTTTTTTTAAGTTCAGCAGTCTTTAAATGGTGGTTTGTGGGTTGGAGAAATCTTTACAGCTCTTTTATTCAAATGTCTATTTACTTAGATTTCTTGGCTGCCAAAAGATTCTTGCAAGATGTGTATAAAGAAGATTCCAAAATGTTGAACTTCCTCTGCTTTCTGTAATCAGTCTTCTTCCACAGAAAATGGTTATATATCCAGTAAATAACCTGTAATCTGTCTGAACTCTCTGTGCAGGGGATTTGTGATGCTATACCCAGCTGACTGTGTAAAAATGGTGACATTAGGAATCTTGTAATCCTGTTTTCTAACTCCCTTGTCATCCACCGCTTCCTTTCAGGAAGTGCCTGCCTCTTTTCCACACCCATTACAGCTGAGAGTTGGAAGCAGCACAAATAAAACTTGCTTTCCCATGTTCATTTTTTACTGTCTGTAACTGGAATATTTGTTTTGTGAGAGTCTGGATTTACCAAACCATGGAGGGGTGAGTCCTGGAGTTGAAAGTCTAGGCATCTATCTGCTGTGATTAAAATAAATGCTGGCACAAGTGACCAGTCTTTGAGCTTTCTTCTGAAGTGCTAAATATTTCTTTTAATGACTGATACAAATGAAGGGGGCTTTGGTAAATTCAGCCTCATTTGGATCCTGTGACTCTAGGTGATAAGTAATCTTTGACCTATATAAGGGGGAATTACAGAATTAATTGCAATCAAATTACAGAATCAAATGTAAAAAGTTGGAAAAGACCTCTTGAGATCACTAAGTCCAACCTATGACCCAACACCACCTTGTCAGACCACAGCACTCAGTGCCACCTCCAGGGACGGTGACTCCACCAGCTCCCTGGGGATGCTGTTCCAGTGCCTGACCCTTCCATTGAAGAAATTCCTCCTGATGTCCAGGTCTGAAGCTCTCCTAGAACTGCTTCAGACTGTCTTGTCCTGTCACTTGTTCCCTGGGAGAAGAGGCTGACCCCCACGTGGCTACACCCTCCTTTCAGGTGGTTGTAGAGAGTGATAAGGTTACTCCTGAGCTTTCTCTTCTCCACTCTGGGCTAAACAACCCCAGCTCCATCAAGGGTTCCTCACCTTGTGCTTCAGACCCTTCACCAGCTTTGTTCCCTTCCCTGGCTAATTAGGTAATGAGGGAGAACTGAAGCATATTAAGTGGAGGCAAGTGCACATAAGAGAAAGCAAGCACCTTCTACAGAGGGTGCTAGACCTTTTCATTTTCAGATCTCTGAACCATTCTACATGCTCAATAAAGATTGGCAACTTTTATCCTCTTGTCACTTGCAGATCAGATAGAAGCTTTCACTTACATAAATTTTTGCAAATGTGTTCATGTGAGTTTCATTTGAGAATTTTTTATGAGCTTTTTTTTTTTTTTTTCCCCCAGAATACAAATACAGGTTCTTTGTTTTTTTCCCTGTGTCATGGAATGGTTTAGGATGATCAGTGCACTGATAGAATCTGGAGACCTCAGAGGTCTTGGCTCAGTGGTCTGCAGAGGTTGTTAAAGTGTGTTTGTATCCTCCAGTCTTTGTTCTGCCCAGAATTTTTAATTGGGGCAGAACAGTGTTCTTGTTCTCTAATGTTCACTAAAGCTTTTCTCCAAAACACTGGTGTTTCTTGTGGCATACACAGCACATTGGCTTGGAAAAATGAATGGCTCCATGTCCTGTATGGTGTCAAAAGCTGATATATCTTGCTGTGCTAAGGCAACCAACTTGTTTTATTCCCATTTGAAGTCATAGAAGGAAAGTTTTGTGAAAGGATCATTCTGATAATTTTAGGAGTCTTTCTTTTGTTTTTTAAATAGGCATTTCCTAGGGTTATTAAATAGTGTTTGCAGAACTCTTGGGAAATCCAGCTTGTAAAACTGGGTGGGAACTTACTTTAGGATGCATTTCTATGTTGAAATGTAACATCAGGAACAGCTTCAAAGCACTTCAGATACGGGATTTCAACTGTATTGCTCTGTTACATCGTGGTGTGAGAATGCCACCTATCCAGGTGTCCTACTTATTATTCCTTTACCATCCTCTGAGGGGACAGCTACCTCTTCCTTGGTATAATTTCCTTTTTTTTTTTTCTTCCAAGGAAAAGCATTGATCTCTTCCTTGGTTTCTTTCTTTGGTAGTGTTCATTCAGTGTAGGGAGTGCTGTGATCAAAGAGTTGTGCATGACAGCAGCAGCAAAGTATATTTTTTGAATTCTCATAGATAAAAGGTTGTATTTTGTAGGTCAAATGCTTTCAGTAGTTGTGTTGTGGCATTGAAGAAATGGTTAGTAATAAGCAGCATACGCATTTTTTTCTTCTGTACTTTGATGTGAATTTGGGAACCAAAATATTTTCTGTAACTGCTTCTGTATTTGTACATTTCCATGTTCTTGTGTATAATTACCACTGTTTCTCAAGTCAGTACTGGCTTGAATTTTTTTTGACATGAGAATTCTATGAATCGTTTGTGTAAGTGCTAAGAACACGTTCTTGTATTTGCAGTCAGGTTTGTATTTGGTTTCTCTTTCTCCCACTTTTGGCCTAGCTTGGGAGGGAGGGTAGACAGGAAAGAGGTGGAGACCCAAAAGTCCCATGTGGTGGGCAGAAGTGACCAGACCAAGTTTAACAGGTGTATTAAAACACAGTTTTTTGACAGCTTATTTGCTTGAGTCTCAAATATTATGAACGGGAACAGATCTAAATCCCATCTCAAAACACGCTGTGGACAGTGCTGACGTGCCCCTTTTCCATCTGGTGTAAAAGGGAAGCTGCAAACAATGGCAACCACGCCTTTGTCCTCCTGCTTTCCCCTTCTTGCTCTGCATAATATGGAGCTAAAATAGTTGCCAGTTTTGGCTTTTGCTTTTCTTGTCAAAATTGTCCTCTTTTTGCCATCTGTTCCCTACTCTTTCCACTGCCCTAAAGCTGTACTCTTTGGTACCTGTGATCACTTAGAAAGTCATGAACATATTGTAAAAAATCCATTTTTTCAGTTTTAGCTTGAAGTAAAAGAAATTAAATCTTGGAAATTAAAACAGAGCTTTTTCATTTGTTGGAATAAAGATTTTTTGTGTGTGTGGCTTCCTAAAGAAAGGAGGCTTATGGGATTGAGCCATTTGTTCATCTGCTTTTCAGTTCATCCTTAATAACTTTTGAACAATTTCATCCAGATTCAACAAGGAATAAGAGCCTCAAAGGTAATTGGTTTCCTACAAGAAAACTGGAGGCTGGGTGGAGGAGAGAGACAAAAATAGGTGTCCCCACTGTCTGTAGCATAAGCTTAACTATAATCTGTGCTTAGGCTTTTGCTAGCCAAGTTCCAAGTGTGTCCTGGCTGCCTGGGTACTGCAGTAATTTCAGTTTCCAGGGCATTTTACTGAGTCTTGCCTAGGCACAAGCTACAGAAGGGGCCATGGAAGGAAGGCAAGGGCATAGAGAATGTTGTTGGAGAGTGGTTTTATGATCATGGACCAGTTTGTTTTCAAATTCCATGTGGTATTACCTCTTCTTCTCGATGCCTGACTTCTCAGAGGCTCGTTTGTCAAGGGTGCATCTGTGGTGTTTGCCTGGCTGTGAAATAAATGTAAGAAAGCATTTACATCGTGCTCAGAGAAACTCAGCATTCTGAAGTGCAGCTGGGCAGTTACTTTGGCAAATCTTTTATTCACTCCTGATTTAGGCTAGAGAGAAGAAGTTGTGAATGTGGGTGGAATTAACTCAATAATTTCTGATGGCAAAAAAGAGATGGCTGAAAAATATATTCCTGTAGAATTTTTTTTTCCCTTGGGCTCAAATGATTGCTTGAATGAACACTTTGAACAAAATGAGGATGGAAATGTAGAGGGGGGCAGTAACTCCTATAATGGGAGTTTATTTACCCAGAATATATAAGCCCTGCTTTTGCAACACTTGCTGCAGAACTTCAATTTGTACAACCAAATTCATTATGTGTAGAATTTGCAAAATCTTCTCTTATCTCTTGGCTTTGGCAGAAGTAGGGCACTGGGCTTTCTTTCTCATGTATGCATTTGATAAAATATTCATATTCCTGCGTCTCTTGTGACTGGGGGAAGGAACCACCACCTGGAATTATTCACTGCCTGCATCTCTGTGTTTTCCATTGGTTTCTTTTGTCCTGGGTGAGTACTGGAGGTCCTGAGGGTACTTGGAGCCATGAGTCAGTGACAACCTCCTGCTATTATTGTAAATAGCAACGTGAACACTGTTCTTGCATGAGTTTTTCCACGGGCTTTGTCTTTCTCGCCCAACGCGGGAGCCAAGGAATTCACAGAGCATCTGAGTCAGCAATCAGCTGCCTCGAGACAAAACATGCAGGATACTGCAGCCCTGCAGAACAGCCAGCAAGGCACACAAATACCCTGGAAACCTGGCCAGTAATCCTTGCCTGCCCTTGCTTTCCTCCTGTAATTTCCATGTTCTCTGACGTGTTGCTCGTGGATTCCAAGGGGTGTTTACATCAGGAATGCAGAGTTCTAGGGAGTGACCTAACGTGGTGACTGAAGCCTCGGTGTTTCACCTGTGGGCATAACTGATTTCCCAGCATGTGTGAAATGGGATTTGGGCACAGCTGCCATGCTGAGGTACCCCTTGGAATGTGCTGGCTCAAATGACCTGCTTTCTGCAGGTTTGGCTGCTGGCTTGGCAAACCTCAGACACACGGCAATAAGTTCCTAGAGTGAAAGGAGGTTGGATTTTTAACTTTGGGGTCTTTGAGCAGTGCTAAACCAATGCTGCTTCACTTCCTTGCTGAAAAACTATGGGAGAAACAAGAGTAAGAAATGATCCCTATGCTGTCCTTACATCTGGCTGTATCAGTAGTGGAATGTGGACTAACAGACCCAAATTTAGGTCTTAATTTAGGTCATGTAACTCGTGTTGCTTTTTCTGCAGAAGTTTCAGTCATCAGTGCTGGTATAAAGTGAGTGTTTGGGTGGTAGAGTGGGGGTGCAAGAAGTGGGGGGAACATAATTCAGCTTGGAATGTTGTGCTGATTAATGAGGCATATGACTTTAGACTGTAGGTATTTTATTGTGTTTGTATGACACAGAGACACTGAAATGACTCCTTCAGCATTAGAGGTGTTTTGTGGGAGCGTGTTATAACATTCTTGAGAACAAAAGAGGAGAGACAGGCCTTCAGTACCTGGTGGGGCCAGAAGAGAGGTGGAGAGGGACTTTTTACAAGGACATGAATGATAGGACAAGGGGGAATGACTTCAAGCTGTTATAGGGCAGGTTTATGTTGGATACTGGGAAGAATCTCTTCACTGAGAGGGTGCTGAGACATTGGCACAGGTTGCTCAAAGAAGCTGAACAGAGAAGCCCCATCCCTGGAAGTGCTCAAGACCAGATTAGATGGGACTTTGAGCATCCTGATCTAGTGGGAAGTGTCCCTGCCCATGGCAGGCGTGTTGGAACTATGTGACTTTTAAGGTTCCTTCCAAACCAAACCATTTTAGGGTTCTGTGGCTTAGGCCTCTAGTGCAGTGGTTTCCGTGAGGTGCAAGCCTGGAGCATGTTTCCAGCTTCACAACAGTGCAGTTAAGATGGAAAATAAGGAAAACACTTCCAATTTGCTTAGTGAGCAGTACTGCTATGGACATGGGCATCACTATCAGCCAGTTAGAAAAACAGCTTCATGGGTACTGAATCCTCTAAGGCAGTTGTCCTAATAAAGTTTGAATTGCATTCTGCACTATAACCCATTGTTATACTTTGACTTCTGTAGGAACTTTTATTTTTAGAGACTACCAATTTGTGGCTTATGTAAAAGTTTCCAGGTCTCCTTTGCCATTTCTAAACATAAACAATAAATACCATGTTTGGCTGAAAAGCAGGAGTGCCCAAATAAACTACTGGAGAGCTGTCATAAGGGAGGGGAAGAGACATGAGCTGTAATGTTTGACTTGGCTTCCTGTCTGTTGGAAGCAGGAAAAGAGCTGGTGAGAATCTAAAAAGTTTTATCCAAGTGCACATATTTCCCTTTTTACTTTAATACCCTTTGCACAAAAAACAAAGGGCAAAAAGCACCACAGAAGTGCTTTCACTTCCACAGTTGGTGCATGTGTTCTTTCTCAGCAAGCAGGGTAAGCTAGTGTATGTACTCTAGTACTATGTATAAAGGAAAGGAAAAAGTTTATTATATATAAAAGAGAGGGAGAGGAAGAGAAGATATCTATTCTTCAAACAAAATCTCTAATTGTGATCCAAAGAATTGATTCTGTAGGTCTCCAGCCTGCTTCTGAGGGATCCCAGAAATGAGCAGCACAGCTCATGACAGCAGATCTGACCCAACAGATTAAAGTAGACCCCAGCTACCACCTAAAATTTTGTATGGACCTGCATATCAAAAGGAGTTGAAAACCACAGAATAGATGAATTAGTATGGGAATCTTAGAAAGCTCATGGAGCAGCCACATTTCACTCTTATGCTGCTCATTTACTGACAGAAATATGTGTACAGGCTTTAGGTAAGGGAGATATCTATACTGCTTGATGCAACACAGACAGGCTTCCTTTTTTTTTAGTTGACATATTTTCCTAAGAAATGGATTGCTATTAGCAGGTTTAACTTACTTTTAAGATCACAGTAACCATCACTGTGCAAAAGCCAGTCTTTTAGAGGCAAGGACTCTATATCAGCTTGTGCTATGCCATCCTCTCTCATCTCTATTTATCATGACCAAAGACACATGTCTTTTTAGAGTGAAGGCACCAAGGCTTATTCTACTGATGGAGAACCAACTCTTGAAGTGCTCTGTGGCAGTAGTATTGTTAAGAGCAGCCCACAACCATTGCTGTGGTGTTACACAGTAACTGGGACATAGGAGGTCTGCCTGTTCTGTTTTTACAACCTCTTGCCCTCTTCCAGACATCATGGAACATCTGCCTGTTTACTTGTAACTTCTCTGCTCTTTGTGCAGAATGAGTTTTGATAAAACTTCTGAAGCACTGGCTGAGGTTAAAGCATTTTGTGATTCTGCAGAGAGGTGCTGTTGTCTACTGAGTGTAGAAATCCATGGGATATCAATCAGCTGGGGACTGATTTGGAATCTGGGCTCAATTCAGCAGGCTTAGACAAAATGTTGAAGAAGAAAGAGCAAGTTCAGTGACACTTTCTTCTTTTTATTTTATAGGTTAATAATGCTTGTGAGCCAGAGGTGAAAGTGGCTCAGCAGAACACCATCAGGAAATCTGGCAGACTGGAAGAGCACAGCTTGCCCCCCTGGGCAGCTGCCACGTGTGAAGCATGGAGGAAAGTAAAAACGACAAGGTGAACCAGGCTCATGTTCTCTTCGACAGATTTGTCCAGGCTTCCACCTGCAAGGGGACTCTCAAGGCTTTCCAGGAGCTCTGTGACTACCTAGAACTAAAGCCCAAGGACTATCGTTCCTTCTATCACAAACTCAAGTCTAAGCTCAATTACTGGAAAGCCAAAGCCTTGTGGGCCAAATTGGATAAAAGAGGCAGCCACAAGGACTACAAGAAAGGGAAAGCATGCGCCAACACGAAGGTAAGAGGTTCAGTCCCCATGGTCCAGGCTGCTATTACCCAATCCCTCTGGGATACACAGTAAAAAGGGATGGATTTAGAAAGATAATGCCTGGTGTCACTGTAAGCCCAGGGAAGTTTCAGGAATGTTCTGACAATTTTAACCTTTGATCAGCAATGAGAAATTCCTTTTGTCACCACCAGGTGTGATTGCCCACCTGAATGTTTGTATTTTATCCAGGAGAAGCAACCAGCATGTTCTTACATTGTTTTTGTGGCATTGGTCCTATAGATAGATGGCTTGGAAAATTTTAATTGGTAAACCTTTAATCTTGGTTAACTTCTTTCTGCATTTTGACAGTAACTGGAATGTGTGCTGTTGGAGTCTAGGATGCAAAGTATACATGTTTGGAAATTTCCAGTTTTAATTTGAAAATTCTCATGACTCTCAAGAAAACGGAACTTTTCTGCCAATTTGACGAAGCAGACTGTTTCCTATTATTTAGAAAGTGATCATTTATATTCCAAGTTCAAAGAAAAAAAATATACTGTGGAAACTCATACCAATTCTTTTTAAAAGGTTGGTATGTGTGGTATTTACTGCAGGAATTCCTGCTTTTGCACACACACACACACAGAGCATTTTACCTTTTTTTTTAACCTGAATTATTGTGAGCTGACATTTATGTGCTGTACCCCTTGGACAGTACAGTTTGAAAGCAGTTCTTTATAAGTTGGTTTTGTAAATAACCAAGCACTCTTGTTTTTTAAAAAAGGCAAATAGTGCAGAATGAGATAAAATTAGAACAGGTTTCTGTCCTCCTTCATTGAGGACAATAGGTGCTGCTCTTTCTCTTGAATAATCGCCTTGTGAGAGAAGGAAATACTTTAATTGGAAGAATCAATGAGTAATTCCTCAGTATAGAATTGAGGGAGATCTTGTTCAGAGAATGTCATTTCAGATCCATGACCTTAGATTTTCCCTCAACTAGTTATTAGAAAGTTATGCTAATTTCTTAATTGTTTATCTTGTTTCACTTTCCAGTGCCTATTTTCATATGGATGAAGGCATTTATAATGAATTACTACAGTAACTCTTGGTAAACTCTGAAAGTCAAACAATTGGCCGTTGTTGGTAGTCACAGTGGGCAGTAGCTTCAGCACCCCAAGAATCCAAGCACTGTTAAAAATTTACATTTTTCAGGCAACATAAGAAAGGAAGGATTTACCTGAAGATAATGTACTGGGTTCTGTGTATGCTTAGGAACAGGCCTTCCAAGCTCTATGAGCATCATGGAGAAAAATTCTAAATTTTCTGCAAAATTGATTGCTCTGTGCATTCATTAGATTCAGGAATTGTTCTTACTTTGAATGAAACATAATGGCTTCACCTGAATGAGGGTGTTTAAATCTTTGAAATGAAGATAAGTGGTTTATGTTTTTATGACAAAGAGATGGAGGGAGCAAGATGTAGAGGTTTTTAACTTATTTGAATAATAGACAATAAGATTGATTTTTGCATCTAGGCTCTGACTGTATTTGTTAACACTGTGGAAAAAGTTGGTTCAATAATAGAGATGAAACATTAAAGAAGGGATTTAATGGGCAGATAAGTGGATAGTGCTTGATTGGGAGAGCATACAAAAAACCAGATGTGAGTGGAGAGTGACATCCAGCTATGAAAGGCATCCAGAAAATCAAGTGTGACATTTATCTCAAAGGGAGGTGGTGAGCTGAGTTCAGAAGGATGTTAGAGCTCCATTTGGTTTTGTTGGGTTTGAATTAACAACTAGGCAGCCACAAGGAAATGTCAGAAAGGTAGAGATTTTTTTCTTGGCCAAAAAGTAGCCAAGTGTTGAGTTGGACAAGTTCTGTGAATTGACAGCTCTGCCAAAGCTGATTGAAGCAGTGTCTCTGAATGAGGTGATGCAAAGACAGTTTATTGAGGAAGATCACACATGAGATCATGGGTGAAGCCTCCAGGAAGCTGGCAGTGAGAGGAATGAGACCCAGAGGAGTACTGAAGCTCAGAAGTCATCAGAAAAGGGTGTGCTTTGTAGCCAAGTGTCTTTAAAACCTCTCTTCAAGCACAGTTATAAAGTGAATAAAAGGAGTAAAGCATCCTGGGAGTGATGTTTGACTGAAGAGGTTGCAAGGGGTTTTGTATCATCCAAAAGCTTAACCTATTTCATGCACCAAAGCCAAGTTAAAGAGAGTGAGGATGGAATTGGAGAATTGGGATCAAGAGAGTGATTGTAGAAGTAGCATGTGGTGGTGAGATAAGCAGAGAGACTCATGAGGTCGTGTGGGACTGCCCCTCATTGAATGATGAGGAAATGATTGATGATGAGATGGAATTGAATGGTGAGAGAAACCTCAGAACTTGCTGGTGTTGGTGTGAAGTACCACAGTGGTGGAAGTGAGCAATGACTGCAGTGGACACATTTTTTAAACTGAATTTCACTATGTATTCCTCTTATCTTTTCATCTATGTTTCTATTAATTTCTTGTTTCCTATCCAAATAGTATCTGCCATTAAATGTTTAAATGGAGTTCCTAAGAGATAATCCTAACTGTTCAAAGCAGAGGCCTTTTGAGAACTGAGTCATGTCTGATTTTTTCCTAACTCACTTAGCTTTATATTCCTAATGTTTAATGTAATTTGCAAACTGCTTATTAAAAGGTACAGAAATCTAAGTGGGCATGTGGAGATGATAGAAGTTAAAATAAAGATTAGGGTTTTATCCATGTCAGAACAGAAGTCAGTCATTTCATTAGGCAGCCTGGCTTCTGTACACTTGAACATAAACCAGTTCTGAAGTTTTCATACTTTGTAGGATAGCTCTTAATTGCCTATTTAAAAATTGTTCAAGGATGAGGTGCTGTGCCTGGAGTTGGGCAGTTTGTGCACATGGCCAGCATCCAGGCTAACCAGAATTCAGATAAACAGAGTTCACAAAAGTGTCTTGGACTGGATGGGTTGTTCAAATGTAAATAGTTACAAATGGTGCTCTCTCTTCATTGGTTATACAGAGAATACAGCATTTCAGTTTGCATTTGATGTTCCATTACCATGGCGTTGTTACTGGAAACTTAATTTAATCTGTCTGAAAGATCTTGAGCAAGAAGTGTTTTTGAGGGGTGAGACAGCTTCAGTGCAGGGAGTTGCAGCAATTTCTTGGAGTCACTGAAGGGAAAGGGAACAAGGAATAACAGTAGCTGTCTTTATTTGGCTCTACTTGGCATGTCACGGGGTCACTGCAGACTGAGAGTATCAGAAGGTGGATTTTTATGAGATATCTGAAACTGGAAAAGAATATTTTCTATTTTTAATTGTGTTTAGAATTGATGTTTTATAACAACATAATTTAATGGTTTTGTGATGGTATTAAAAAAAGGCAGCTTTGACCATAAATTACTTACCAGAGTATTTTATATTCAACACATCTAGAATCTTAAACATAACCTAAATGCTTTTAACCACATCCCTATGAGGGAGGAAGGATAGAGAGAGAGAAAAAACCTTTTAAGTTCTTGTGACAAAATTGCAGGCAACTAGTTTATAATTTCATGAAACCTGAGTTTGAATAGTCTGATTTTAGTACAATTCCTTGGCTGTTGTGTACTCCATCATAAATATTTTATATGTGGAAGTTTGTCAAAGTATGAAGGTCACCCAATTCAGTGTGTTCTTGTTTCTTATTGAAATCCAGGCTCTTTGAAGATTGCAGTTGTCAGCCAAGCAAAATTCTTACCTGGATAAGTATGTTATGCTGAGCTAATTTTCTGAAAAGTTTAAAAAAAAGAAAGGCAAGGTGGTGTTTGGGAGTTACACTTACCTACAAAGAAGGCAATATTAAATTGGTATAATATAGTAGATCCTAATACTGTAGCCTAATAAAGAAATAGTATATATAATAAAATATATTATTATACTACAAATATTATTATAAATCATTATAATGTTATATATTATATGTGATAATGTTATTATAAATTATTATTATAAAATAATAATCCTAACGATGATTCCTTATATCAGATTACGAAATGACACCTGTTCAATATACAGTTTTATTTAGGTATTTATTAGCTCAGAGGTTGGGTGTGCCTTTTGTCCCAGATGCTTTTATGTTCCTGAAGCCACTAAAAAAGCAGTGGTGTTATTATTCCCTTCCCTGTTGTCTAGACTTGGATCTCTGCCCTCAGATTTGTGTCATTTCTTATCTCATTCAGTAGTCTTAGGTGGAATTTGCATGTCAATAGCTGTGTCATCGCTGCTGTAACTTGTACTGGTTTTTCATCATTCTGGCTTTACATTTGCAGCTCCATGGTGCTTGCAGAGTTTGTGCCCCAGAATAAGTGGTGAGAATGTGGCAGCCTGTAAAAATTGTCTGATGGGGATGACCACTGAACACAAAAGTTTTGCTTTTTGGGATTGGTTGTCTATCACAACACTGGCTGATAGTTAAATTTTGACATATTTAAGAATTTCTCAAAGAGCTTTCCTTGTGCAGCCATAAGGATCTGGAAAAGAATCAAGGGCAGCAGCAGCCACCTCTGTAACAAGGTCTTTATTCCCTGTCTCTGGTTTACTCAGTAGAAATCAAAGTACAATAATGATATGACAAAATGGACTGTGTACTGTGTTTATGTGACTGCACATACCAACACTTTCTCTGTGGACATCAGTTTCTGTGGTTAAGAAGTGGCTCTTAACTATCTTGGCTTTTTAATCTGAAAGTATTTTGCTGCATCATTCTGTTCTCAGAAGGTACTTCACCACTAGACACGCACATATTTTACATTCTCAACTTGTTTATTAGCATCTGATGGTGTTTGTGACCAGAGTGGAAAAAAGATAAGAGAAGGTGAAAGGCCTTCCATATGACAAAGGTTGAGCTGGAGAAAAGATTTCTCTGGTCACACAAAGTTCATGTTTACGTGATATTTACTTCCCCAAAGCCTCCTTTGCTGCAGCAGTAGAAGCACCAAAGCAGCAACAAAGGCATAAATTAGAGTGCTCTGACTTGGCTACTCTGTTATTCTGTTATTCTAAATGATGGTGTTTATAAAAACATGAGTGTCTTGTGTTTATCTGCTGTTGCTGTTGCAATGCTACTGAAGATATTCTTAAGAAAAGCCAGCTCAGGGTTTGGGAGATGAGAGGAAAGCTCATCATTGGTTTTATTTTTGTTTTTTTGGGGGTTGTTTTGGTTTTTTGTTTGGTTTTTTTTGTTGTTGTTTGTTTATTTGTTTAATAAAAAAAGGAATGGATTGTGGGAGGGAGAAGCCTTCAGAAATTTTGCTGTTCTCCAGGTAGTTACAAAGCTTGGAAAGTATGACTTGGCAGCTCTTCTTAGAGCAATGGCTGCAAGCACACAGTTTTGCTTGCCTGCTTCCTGAGTCTTTTCACTTCTCTGCAATATACTTCATTTTCAGGCTGTGGTTACTGCTTTAACCAGATGAATGGCAGAACTGGGCAGGTAGAAATAAAGACTGATCTGAAATTTCAGCTTATGTTTCAGACAAAGAACACTTCTAAGAGCCATGGGATGCTCGAAAGCTGCTGCAGAAATACCCATTTCCTCCTAGGACTGTCCAGTTACTGTGTGCTGGTTGTTTTTCAGTGTCTGATAATTGGGGCTGGACCCTGTGGCCTTCGTACAGCCATCGACCTGTCGTTCCTGGGAGCCAAGGTGGTGGTGATAGAGAAGAGGGATGCCTTCTCCCGCAATAACGTGCTGCATTTGTGGCCCTTCACCATCCACGACCTGAGGGGCCTCGGCGCCAAAAAGTTCTACGGCAAATTCTGTGCAGGATCCATAGACCACATCAGTAAGTACAGCCAGGGCTGGACACAGCAGCACTGCTTCTTCCTGGGGGGAACGGGGGGAAGGGTGTGGGGTAATGAAAATTCAGCCTGCATCAGACCCTGCTCTCGAGCTATAATGGTACAGCTTTGCACTGTGCATTCTGGGCTAGTCATGAGATTAAAACATGCAATGTTTATCTGTCATCTCTTAGACATTCCTTAGGCACAGCTTCTTCCTACACTGAAAAATACACTTGAAGCTCAAAGTTTTTTTTTCTTTTTATTTTCTTCCTATTTTTTGCTGATACATTCTTGCAGCTGCCACATTATTCTGTTTCTCTTGAGCAACTTGTAAAGAAAAATTAGTGCATGCTTTTGAACATCCTTATGAATTTCAGTTTGGAGAAAGGAGGAACAGTTTTGGCTTTGTTAATTTTTAGGAGAGATGAAGATACATTTTGATTAAATAGATGGTTATGTGTTAAAATTGAGAAATAATCTTGATGATTTTTAAGTTCTGTTAAATCAGTCTTCTTTGAAAGCTGAATGCTTTGGTGGAGCAGGAGTTATTTTTCTTTTCTTTTTTCATCCCCAAAATTGACTGTACATGGCACAGCCAGGTGTTGCCCACCAGTTTGTGTCTTGTTTGTTTTTTTTTAATTTGGCAACAAATGATAAAACTTAAAAATAATATGAATATCTTCATAACTTCACTCTTGCAGATTGCTTTTTCCTTCTAATTTCTTTTCATTTTTATTCTTCCATCTTTTTATGCATATTGTCCTTTTTTATGTATCAGCACAGCTAAAATTTAGTGTTTAAGTGAAGGATTATTTTCATTGCAGTATCTGAAATATGGAAGTATCTGAAATATGAAGTATCTGAAATATGGTATTTTCCTTCAAATTAATTGAATTGCACATTAATTTTCATTCCCATTGCCAAAGTTACCTGAAGAAGAAGAAAGCAGCAGCTGGCCTTTAAGTCAGGGTATCAGTAATGTCCACTTGTGCTCTTCTCTTTTTCTTCTATTTCTTTATCATCTGCCTTTTTTTTTGCAGGTATCCGTCAGCTCCAGCTCATCCTTTTGAAGGTTGCCTTGATCTTGGGAATAGAGATCCATGTCAATGTGGAATTTCGGGGGCTCGTTTACCCTCCTGAGGACCAGGAAAATGAAAGCAAGTAGCACTGAAATGAGCAGTAGAGAAGGGGGAAGTTGTGGTTGGATACACAGGCTCTTAAACCTTAACTCTGCTTATGACATTAAGTCCTTTCCTCGTGCTTCATTAATAAGAATAGTTATTAATCCATTTTTGCTTGGATTTTTAGCAGGATTTGTTTTTCTAGTGACAAATCCAAATTAGTTGAAATTTTTTTGAGTTTGTATGAAGCAAAGTCACCAGAAGGACTACACAGAAATAGACCAAGACATGGCAAATTGTAATTGCTTCTAAAATACTTAAGCCTATTACATAACATTCTGATAGCATTTTGAAACAACTCCTTTCTTTGCATTCACTGAGGATATTCATATTGGTGAATGATCCTTGTTATGCTTTTAGTATCACTGAAACCTGTTCTCTCATCACCACAGGAGATGCTGCTTACTTATTTTTTTGCCTTTTGTTAATTGTATAGATAGTAGAGAAGTTTGTAGTTGCTCCTAAAGGGATTAGAGGAATTTTAGCAGAGCTGTGTCTGCCTCTGATTCACATGGAATTGCTGCACAGTTCAGGAATTGCCCTGCCATCAATGTAGCTGTCCTGCAGGGTTTCTTGACTGATCATGTGTTGAAGGATTTATTGATAGTAAGAACTGGTTTTATCTGTTTTTTTCCCTATGATTATTGCCATTTATATTGTCATTAACTTGGAGTCTATCTACAGGAATAGGTTGGCGTGCATTGGTCCACCCCAAAACCCATCCAGTGTCTGAGTATGAGTTTGAAGTAATCATTGGAGGGGATGGCAGGAGAAACACCTTAGAAGGTAATGGAGTGTCCATAATTCACCTCCTTATTCTTAAATTTGTTAGAGCAAAAGTGGCTTTTAATAGGCTAATCTGCATCTGAAAAAACCACTTGACAAGTGATGGGGAGATGAAAAGTCCATGTAAAAATCCATTTGTAGCAAAGACCTGGGTGGTCTTTGTTTTCTTCCTCTAAACTAACAAAGACATGAGGGGTTTTGATCTGGGTTATTTTTCCTACATTTTTTCTTCAGTTGAGTAGTGTTGTCACTCCTACCTTTGAGTGTAGGATCTGAGGTGTTGAATGTTGTTCTGTGTAGCAGAGAAACCCATGTTAATATATTTTTAATGGAAATTGCAGCTTTGGGAAGAGAGATGAGAGAGGGGGTGGTGAGGAGCTTTTTCTCTAAACAACGCTTATTTTCTGATGAAGCAATTGTTCTTTCCTCTCTGGAGGAGTTTGTAACTTACCAATTCCCTTCTCCCTCTTTACTTTGTGAGTGCACTTGTCTGTGGCATACTGAGCCTTCTCTGAAGGTGTGTCTGGTTTTCAGCCTTACAACTTTATCCTTCCCACAGGGTTTCGCCGGAAAGAATTCCGCGGTAAACTTGCGATTGCTATCACGGCAAACTTCATCAATCGCAACACCACAGCTGAAGCCAAAGTAGAAGAGATCAGCGGTGTGGCCTTCATCTTCAACCAGAAGTTCTTCCAGGATCTCCGAGACGCCACAGGTTTGCCGGCTCTTGACAGATTTCCAGTGAAAACTGTTTGTATTTATTGTTACAGCTTTGCAGCTCAGATTTGTGTGTTTAATCGAGAAGCAAGCATCTCGTGCAAGGCAGGCAGTCATTGCTGTCTCTGCCTTCCCTATTTTTGCAGCTGCTCTGCTGTACAAAGCAAACCTGTGTCATTTTGGTTCAGTAGCTAAGAACTTAGGGATTTCAGGAAATCAGAGCTCTAAATGGGAAAAGGTCATGAATCCAGAGTTCTCTTTGCGCTCCACATCTGAATTGCAAACCTTAGAGTGATGATAAATGGATTTTTTTAAAAGAGGTAGCTTTATGCAGGTGAAATGTGCTGTCTGTGGTTTTATTGAGAATTCAGATTTTAAAGTCACCCAGAGCATGGGAGAAAGTTGTCATTCTCTGATTTTCTCTAATGGTACAGTTTCAATTCACTTTCTTCTGGTAGGACTTTTGTTGCACATCACTCCTAACTTGTTCCTTCACTACCACATCTTTTGTTCTGTCACAAGGCATTGACTTGGAGAACATTGTCTACTACAAAGATGATACACACTACTTTGTCATGACTGCCAAAAAGCAGAGCTTGCTGGATAAAGGAGTGATACGGCATGTGAGTATTAACTTCTCCTGTATTCTCTGTAAGCTAAAATTGTGGTGACAATTTACTTTTGGGAAGGTGAAAGTAGGAAAATGTGCTTTTCCTCCATCACATAATGTTTTTTATACAGTTGTTATTTTAGAACATGAATGTAGTTGTGTTCTAAAAAGCAGTTAATGCCCTTCTGAAGTATTTTAAACCATCAGACGAGGTGAAAACCTGTACTTTTCAAATTTGTCTCCCTTTGTAGATTTGAGAGTTTTGTTCATGCCAAGATAAAATATGCTGAAAGAACATTTGATAGTTTAGTTGAGCTTCCCTCATTTTATGGGAATGAAAAGTGCTCAGAAGTTTCTTAGCCCTTTCACAGTCAGAAATGCAAGCAGGACTGTTAACTGTTTGCAATAAAAGATTTATAGATTTTCTCCTGGAACCATTAACACAAATAGGAATGAAAGAAATCAGCAGGCAAATTTGTATGAATGAATTTGTCAGAATTTTAATGCCAACTACCATATATACCAATCTTAAAATCAACTTGTGGGTTTGACCACGGCACTTTTACTTTGCGGGTTTTGGCAGGACCACGCCGACACAGAGGTCTTGCTCTCCCGGGAGAACGTGGACCAGGAGGCTTTGCTGAACTATGCCAGGGAAGCAGCAGATTTCTCCACTAACCAGCAGCTGCCATCTCTGGATTTTGCCATCAACCACTACGGGCAGCCCGACGTGGCCATGTTTGACTTCACGTGCATGTACGCGTCCGAGAACGCCGCCCTGGTGCGCGAGCAGAACGGCCACCAGCTCCTCGTGGCGCTGGTCGGGGACAGCCTCCTCGAGGTTTGTGTTCAGCTGGAGGGGGTGAGCTCTGAATGAGCCACAAACCTTTGCACCATCACTGAAATGTGTGCTGCCTGACATAGGGAAAGCTGCTGTTTGTTGTAGAATAAAGTGGGAGGTTTGAAGGAAGGGTGGGAGTGTTGGGAAAAGAGAATTTTTAGCATGGTAATGATGTCGCTTAGGAAAATGTGTGCAGAGCTTTTTCTGAAGTTCTGGCTGTTCCATCTGCTTCTTGTTGGGACGAGTTGATTCTCTACAGAACCTACTGTAGGCCTGCTAATAATTAGCATTTTGTAGTTGGTTAAAAAGTACTGTCTTGAAGAGAAGCTGTTAAGGCACTCCAGGCTATGAATTACTGTTAGAAATAGAGGGACATTGATTTTGGGAGAGCTCATGAGCTGTTCACCATACATCTGGTTTCCTCTAACCCAGTGGGGAGTGGAGCTTGAAGCTAATTACTGAATTATAATTTCCCAGCAGATTACTGCCTGAATATGTACTTGATATTTCTTTTAAAATTTTCCCTAAGTGATGCTTTTCCTTTCTCTGCTTTTCTTTTTTTTTTTTATTCCTTTTTTTTTTTTTGTAACCTATAATATCAGCCATTTTGGCCAATGGGAACTGGAATAGCCAGGGGATTTTTGGCTGCCATGGACTCTGCTTGGATGGTACGAAGTTGGTCGCTTGGAGCTAGTCCTTTGGAAGTTCTTGCAGAGAGGTAATGGAGAAAGTGAATACATTTACAGTTCTAATCCAATCCTCCAACATCTCATTGTTCATTCCAGTTTCTTTTAGTACAAATGTGTAGACAGAATGGGAGATACAGACTCTTACGGTTTTTAGAGAATGGTTGAGGGTATAATTCAGTTGAAGAAAAAAAATTCAAAAGAGTCAATAAACTGAGGTATGTGGAGGAGTAAGAAATATTGCTGTTCCTGATCCTAGTTTTAAAGGATTAGATGAAGAACTTTTTTTTTTAAAAGTGCTTTTTGACATTGCATGGACAAAGTGAGCCTGACTGTCACCAGCCCTTCAATGGCAAACCAGGTGAAGATGTAGGTGCCTTTAAAGTACCAGATACAAAAGTTCTTGCCATCTCCTATTATTTTGTGAATACCTTATTACTTCCTTTTAAGGAAGCTGTGACCTGCTATTTTTCATGTTGTCCTTGGTCACTTTGTTTCATGTAAGCCAAGCAGCATCTCATCTCTTTTGAAGTATTGAGTTGTTGATGTGTTTCAATCAACTTTGGATGAGTGTTGTTTCGGTGACTCAAAGTGCTCTCTTGGAGATCAGAACTGGCTTAATTAAAGAATGGAGTAAGTTAAAGCAACAGTTTGTAGGTCCTATTTTAAGCTTCAGCAACTGCATCTTCTGACTGTCAGGAACCATAGTATAATGTCTAAAATTGCACAATGGCACAATTCATACTTAAAATTCCATTTGTTTGAATTTAAAAAAAAGGTGAGGAAAATAATGTTGCTGTTGAGGCCAGACTTCATCACCTTTCCATTAGCCACTTCAGACAGCAGTAAGATCTTCCCTAGGCTTTCTCTTCAATGTAGTGAACAAACTCAGCTGTCTTGGCCTCTCCTCACAGGGCAAATGCTGCAGTCCCCTTGGTGGCCCCTCTTCCTGAGCTCCTCCTGTGTCTCAGTGTCTTTGCTGTACTTCAGTTTTGCCCAGTGAATTGTTCTCTTCCCTCTTTTGGAATTCTGAAGTTGTATTAAAGTGCAGATTTTTATATGCTAATGCTGACTCTTAGCTATGCAGTGTCTGAAGTGGTTAGATTTCTGATTTGAATGTTTATCTCTCCAGAGTTTACTTAGCCATAGTAGTAGTGATGCATCTCTTAAGAAAAAAAAACCAAAACAGAACAAAACCTCAAACCAGCCGAAACAAACCAAAAACCCCAAACCACCACAAAGCCTAAATAAAACAAATGAACCAAAACAAAACCCCAGACATTTTTTTTGTGTTATTTTCCCAAGGGAAAGCATTTATAGGCTTCTGCCTCAGACCACCCCAGAGAACGTGAGTAAAAACTTCAGCCATTACAGCATTGATCCTGCCACCCGATATCCCAATATCAACGTCAACTTCTTGCGGCCACAGCAGGTAAATCACAAATTGTGCCTCTGAGTGCTTGTAATCTGCAGTGTCTTTCCCCAGGTGAAGCTGTGCCAGTGTTCTGGGAACAGAGAGTGATGTGTGTGTAACATGGAAGCGGTGAAAGGCAGTTGCATCAGTCAAGAGTAGACTTTTGTGCTTGAACAAATTCCTTTTTAGGAATGCTTGATTCTGATAATTTTAACTGTGATATGATGATACAGGAAACCTATAAATTTGTGTTTTCTATGTGTGCACATACATTTTCTTTGTAATAATCTAGTTTAGCAGTCTGTCATTGCAATTTGGTGTCCACTGAGCAGCAGCAGCAGTCAGCTGGACTGTTCAGCACTGATCCTTGCTGTTGTGAGTTCTTGGGGTAGGATTTTTGCTACCTACGTATACTTACCTTCCTTTTTATACTTTGGGATGTCTCCTTATTGTCTTCTGGTTATTTCTGTGTGTATCTAGGGTGCATGGCATGTTGATCATCATAAATGTTTTTGTGCATCATTTTAGGTACGCCACTTGTATAATACAGGAGACTTGAAAGACATTCACCTGGAGATAGAGAACTTTGTGAACTCCAGGACACCAAAGCTGACTCGAAATGGTAGGTCTGGCTGCTGTCCTACTCCTTTTGGTATTCTGGAGCTGAATCAGTGCAGGAACTAGAGAGCAGGGCTGTAGAGTATTATTTTACCATTATTTAACCTCTTCATTTAGAAAATGTATCCAGTAATTGTTTTGTCAACAGTCTGAGCTTACAATTTTTCAAGTTGCCATTAGCATGGGAATTTATTTTTGTTTGCCTAATTTCCCTTGCCTTATAATGCTGTTAATTTTCTAAGCATATTTGTTTGTATAGGCAGTTCTTTTCATCTCCTTTATCTCTAGCAATGTCCTTGCTTAAAGTGCAGAAGCCTGGACTGAGTTTGCTCTAACAGTAGACTCAGAACTCTTACAAATGTAACAGAAGTTATTGCTTGTGCAGTCTTGCATGTTCCTGCCTTCCTTTTCTTCATCTCATCTCTCAACTAAATGAAACCTCACTTTGCTTGCATTATTCTGAGAGCTAGATGCCTTGTGATAAGCATTTCAGTATCTGTCTACTTGTCATACCCTGAGGGGTACGTCAGACTTTTCCTTTTGCACGCCTTGTCTTGGATGCCCAGATAGTGCTTTGGGATTCTCAGAGTGGCCTTTGCTGCTGAGCCTTCCTTCCACTGCTGAAGAGCTGTGTAGTCTCTGCTCTTTGCCCTGCAGCCACGTCCCTTTAGGCTGTAATCTCATCAGATCTTCTGGTAAGACAAGGTCAGAATAGGTCAGTGCTTTTAAAAGAAAGTTTTCAAGGGAGAAGAAGTTACAGAAGTACATTTGCAGTTCTTCCTGTAGAAGTAGTATATCTGGGATTTAGAGAGCATTGCTACTGTATGTCCTTTTGATCATATTTAACAAGCCTTTGCAACAGTTTTGTATTTCCTGGGGCTCTTTTACAATGGCCAGGGTGAAAAGTCTGGCAAGTTACAACTTAGATAATTACTTTTCAGCAAATGAAAAATACTTTTGTGGATTTAAAATAGATATGATAGTATTTTTAAAAGAAAACAAGAATCCTGTCCTCTGTTACCCATTGTAGAAGGAGCTTGTTTTTTACATTAAGATTTTGCTTGTTGACTTCTGGAGTTTGTGTTGTATTTAGAATTTTTAGCTGGTTTGAAATGTGCTATCTTTTTTTCCAGAGTCTGTAGCTCGCTCTAGTAAATTGCTCAGCTGGTGCCAGAGGCAGACTGATGGATATGCTGGTGTTAATGTGACAGATCTCACAATGTCATGGAAAAGTGGCTTAGCTTTGTGTGCCATTATCCACAGATACCGTCCAGACTTAATGTGAGTAACTGCCTGCTTCAAATAACTGGGAAGAGCAGGAAATTAGTGATATTTGAAACTAATAATATGGAGTTGGAGGCAGTGCATTTGTGACTTATGAAGAAATGGATTGAAATTAATTCAATTAAACTTGATGGAAACCAACGTCCAGTGGTTCAGTAGCAGAATGGAAGGTCATGATAGTTTGATGAATTTGAAAATAAATGTGTTGTCATTTTCCCTTCTGGATGATTGGGCATAATTAAGCTTCAAATTGGAACTGACTGGAAAGCATTATTGACTGACAGATTTTATGTATGGAGTGAGTAAGAAACACTTCATAGCTTCAGTTAAATCACTTGTGAACAAGTCTCTGCATAGTCCTTTATTAATTCCCTGGTTAGCAAAGCAACTCTCTCAGGCTTCTCTTTCTAGAAATAGTGACCCACAGCCTAAATAGAGAGGTTGCTACAGTCTGCACACTGACTTTTTGGTTGGGTGAATGGCAGAGGTGTCCTCTTCAGTGCTATATTGGGTAAAACACTGCCCAGATTCTAGAATCAGAAAACACTGGCTGGAAAGGTGACAGCACCAAAGACTCTGGTACTTTAATCTGAAATGTCTCCAGCTTCCCAAAGGGACATCAGAAAAATTCTAGAGCTGTACTTGAAGACATAATTCACTGTAAAACATACTGAAAAATTGTGGAGTTATTCCAATCCATATGCACTGAGTTACTTCTATATTGGTGTACTTGAGTTAACATGAGATACACTGTTTAATAGCTTTATAGCTTGTGGAGAGTTCAAACAGCTTTTAAAATGGTTCTTGTAACTCTACAAGCTATAGCTTTTTATATAGTTATACGAATTTTGGAAAAAGCCAGCAGAACAAAAATATGGATCAGTCAAGGAAAAAAGGGACAAAAAGTCAAGATTTAATTTAGTACCAAGCACACAGAAGATTTTATGTAGGGGAGAATGTACAGCCTTCCAACAAAGGAGGATGTGGAGATGTATTTCAGAGGATAATGGTTTTAGGAAGAAAAGTCTAGGTTTTTAGCAAAAGCAAATAAATTTTAAAAGAATATATCTGTAGTTTGCTGTAATTAAAAAAAAAGTTTGCTGTAATTAAGTAACAATAACTAGTAACTATTGTTACTATTAAGTAACAATAACTGTAATTAAGTAGCATCAACTTTGTCATGTTGGTGGCAAATAAAATTAGGGTTTCAAGTGAAAAAATAAAAAAAGAAGGATGTCTGAGTTCTTTCAGAAGACTGTTTTCTACTTGAGTCAGTGCATGGCCTCTTTTTGCCCTTTGCAGAGACTTTGATTCCTTGGATGAGAACAATGTGGAGAAGAATAATCAACTGGCCTTCGACATTGCCGAGAAAGAGTTTGGAATATCTCCCATTATGACTGGAAAGGAAATGGCATCTGTTGGAGAGCCAGATAAGCTGTCGATGGTGATGTACCTCACACAGTTCTATGAGATGTTCAAAGACACCATCCCCTCTAGTGGTAAGCACTTTGGGGCACTTCTCTCAGATTTAAAAGCTGCTCCAGGGTGAATGTGTGTGCTTCAGTTACCTTCATGCTGCTTCTGCATGAGCACATAGAGTAGTTACTCACTGTAGCTTTACATTACAAAATGATTTGTTTTATTTTGAAGAATTTGATTTGTTACTGGTGCTGATAAAAACCATGATGTCAGCAGCAGGGGCAAAATAAGGACTTAATACACAATAATGTCCTCAAAAGTTCTAGACTCACTTCAGCACTACTAGATAAGTTTTCTGCTTTCTTACTACTGTTTGTTTGTTTTAGCAAGGTGCCTTGCTAGTAGGTGTTGAACAGGTAATTTCAAAACACCAGCTGAGTTTTATACATATTCACCATCCCTGAATGGTGAGAGTAACTTGAGGCCAATGAGGAACAAAACATCTTTGATCAGAACTGAAAGATGTAACTACCTAACCCAAATTAACATGACCAGCCTTTAAATATTGATAATGTTGTTACAGCTCTTTATTACTGATTATCTTAATTCACATCTATCTTTCTGATAAGGGGGAAAAATTTGGTTTAATAGCCTTTAAAAAATTTAGTATGTATCATGTATTATTTCTAAAACTCTGGATTCTTTTTAAGAATACCAATGTTCATGTTCTTTAAATCATGAACATCAAGATTATTATTTTTTTTTATACTTTAAATATAAAAGTAAATAAAGTAAACACAGTATCTGTTATGGGTGATTATAAACCCTGAAAGAATTGCTTTGGGCAAAATGAAGAAGCAGAATAACTGAGAAAGGTATTCATTCTAGACATTTTGTACAGAGAATTTAAGAAAAAGATTGCTATGTTAAAAAGAATCAGCGAGTCCTTCAGTTGAGTATTTAATACCAGTTCTTGTTATTTGTTCTGCCTTCTCACTAACAGATAGCCTGGACCTGAATGCAGAAGAAAAGGCAGCCCTGATTGCCAGTACCAAATCTCCCATCTCCTTCCTCAGCAAACTGGGACAAAGCATCTCTCGGAAGCGCACTCCCAAGGTAACCAGGCACAGCCCTGGGAACTCTTGGGTCTGGCAGGCTGCTGGACAAGCAGTGGTACTAAAAAAGCAGCTTTAATGTTTATCAGTGCACTTAGTTTGTGAGAGACCACGTGTTCTTGGTATGGGACAATATGTGACATTTATGACTGCAAGATTGCATCTGTAGCATGTACTCTGTGGTGTATATCAGTCTTAAAATCTTAGCCTTGTGGTAGTGTATGGGCATATATTTTCTCTTGGAACATAGCTGCTTTCTCACGTTTCAATGATTTGAAAGTGTTGAAGAATTGTCCAACTGAAGATAAGAATCCCCTAAGGAGTATCTAGGAAAAAAACTTTTTCTTAAACAAAGGGAGAATGAGCACAGAGAATTAAATAAGCTTTGCAACTAAACTGATTAAGTGCACTGATGGCACTTATTTCAGTCCAGAAAAGTGTGATGCTCATTTTTGTTTTCTTTCCCCTACTCCTTCTGTTTTCAGGACAAAAAAGAAAAGGAACTGGATGGTGCAGGAAAGAGGAGAAAAACCAGCCAATCTGAGGATGTAAGTATTACAGTGAGAGGTGTCAGGGAGCAAAATAAATGGTAGGTACATTTTTCTCACTTCAGTTCTTTTATTTTTTTATATAGGATTTATATAGGCTTTTTTAGATACAATTTAATTTTTTAGATACAATTTAATTCTTCAGAGGTTACACTTTCATGGTATCTCCAGTGAAAATATTTAATTAATGTTTGTGAAAGAATACTACATAACAAATGAAATGTTGCAATTCCCTGATACTGTTTTTATCACAAATTACAATGGTTTGAAGACATCAACACTCAGAACTTCTTGGTTAAATCATGCAGTACTGTCAAAAGCTTGATGTATATTTAAACTTTGGCCTTGGCCTTGTGCAAAAAGCATACATTTCCAGTATGCCCCATAAGGCTGTCTTTCAAATTCAGTGTTTGTAGCCAAATGGGTACAGGTGAATTAAAATTCAGTGCTTTGGGTTTGCTGTTTGAAGATGGGCCTTTGGTTTATGTCAGGGTGTTTCAGCTGTGGAGTTTTTGGTAGGTAAGTGTATCAAATAAGCTTGAAAAGATCAGTAAAATTTAACAGAACACTTGATGACTTGCCAAAGGAAATGAAAATCTGAGCTTTCAAGTGAGGCTAAGAGATCTGTTATCTACAGTGTAAGAAACTTTTCACAGCAAAGCGGGAGAAAGGAAAAGGTGATCTGGTTGTGTCTTGTTAAATTTTGACGTCACTGATTGTTAGGAGGACCTCCCACGAAGCTACAGAGAAGAAAGGCCCACACTGGTGAGTGCCCTGACAGAGAGGAGAATTGATGCTGCCATTGGGAATCAGAACAAAGTCAAGTCCATGGCAACCCAGCTACTGGCCAAGTTTGAAGAGAATGCTCCGGTGCCGTCCTCAAACTTACGGAGACAGGTAGGAGATGGATAACAAACCCCTTTGTTTTGGAATTGTAGAGGAAAACCATCAATGATAGCATGCATTCCCCAAGACTGGATGCTAGTGTTGCTTTTCTACTTCAAAGGCTCTCCTAGAGAAGAGTGAAGTTTACCCAAAGCTTAAAATTAACAAGTACAGGGTGGAGAAGAACTTCTTTAAAAAAGCCTGTTTCTCTGTTATTGCCCTTATTGTGTAATCTTTCACAAACATATTACCAGCAATTTAGTTTCTTTTATAACTCCTATTGCTCTTTAAAAGCTTTCCAGGAATGTTCTGCTTATACTGTTTAAGAACAACCACTTGATTTCTGATTTGAGCATTTTCATATCGGGTTACATCTGTTTGTTCTCGTGAGCTGTGATTAAGCTTTGTACGTGTATGTATGTGCAGCAGATAAATGCCTGGGAGTTTCTTGGCAATCAGGATGTTTGTGTCATTCCAAGTGAGTCCTGTTTGTTATCCAGGATGGTATCTGAACTGCTACAACTGCAGGGTGGTTATCTTTGAAGTTAGATTGAGTCACTTGAAGCTGCTGCTGGCAGTGCAGTGTCAGCAGGATGAGGCTCAGTGTGGTTTAAGTGCCAGAGCCCTTGCTCTGCTGCATGAGTCCATCTCCACAGCTTGTGCCACATCGTGAGTGGGACCTGAGCTGGCTGCTTGAAAGCCAGGTCAAGTTTGTCTGTGCCACACTACATGTCAGCATTAGTAGTGTAACATAATCAGAATGGTGAATTCTCTCCACACAATAAAATGTTTCTTCTGCTGCTACACATTGGCTGGCATACTCAGCCAATGATTTGAAGAAACAATTAAATGAAAGGAAAGGTCCAAAAATATGTGAAGTTTCCCATTTTTGGATGTTATTTTCCTTTTTATATTTTACTTGCTAAATGAATTCCCCCCTACCCTATTTTTTTTCCTTAAATGTTTGTCTGTCTTATTCTGTATTCCATTCCTATGGCTTTCTTTGAGCTTCCTTCACTATTTTATCTTTCCTCCTTGGTCCCACCTTCCCTACAACCTGCATGCAGCAACCTGTCCTGCCTTATCAAGAACGTGTTCACAGCCAGCCATCCAGCAGACGAGAGCAGGGCCGGCTTGCTCCCATACCCCAGTGGAAACAGGTAAAGAAATTCATTCTGACTACAATGCATTGCCTGCACCCAACACCAGCTACCACTGTTGTGTTTTTAAGCCAGTCCTTTTCTAGCACCTTGTCTGAGTTTGTTATTTTAAATAATTCTCAGTGAATGAAGTCAACATCTCCCTTGGGTGATGATGTATGATTTAATGTTTCAAAAATATTTAATCCAGTTTTCTCTGCCCTCTTACGCTGGTTTCAGCTTACCAAGACTTTCATGGATGTTGCAGCAGAAATTTTTGCTATAGAATTTCTAGATTCTTCTGTTAGAAATAAAGGAAACTTGTAAGCAATTATGGAAAATTGTGAGGTAAAAGATGTCATGTCATCTATGATATTAAAGCTCTTCCTTAATATAAATAGTAAAATTGGTTATCAGTTTTGCTATTCCTGTGTGAAATCTTAGGTGTTCTGTAGTTGCAGGAGACTTTCCTGTGGTTTCCCTTTCTTTATTGACACTTTCTTTAATGCAGCTTTCCTCGCCAACTTCTCACACTTGTTGCTTTGCAGACTCCTGTGTTACTGTGAATTCAGTACATTTTAAGTTTTCTTCCACAGAGGGGTTCAGAATAGGGACCAACAGCAGAACAATTAGCAAGTATCAAGTTTTATTTTCCCTCCAACGTTTTGGGCCATTGTCATTGCTGCTGAATTTCTTACAGCCGTGTGCTTTCCAAAGCTAAGGTTCCTGATAGATGATCTTTCCAGGTATTTAAGGTTACTTACCTCACTGACTCCATCTGCTTCCACTGCTTCCCTGTTCAAATGCCCTCCTCATGTTTCTGAGAGTGCTCAGAGGTGTTTTGCTGACAGCCAGAATTTGGAGAAACATCTTTCTGTCTGTAGTTTAATCAGAGCATAGTCCAGAATCAAGAGGAAGAAGATGACGCTGGTTTGGAAATTTGCTGTTCTCGATGAATTCACAGTGATCTTCGTGTCTGAGGCATTCAGCACAATTAATGCTGCATGTCATGACTGGTGCCATGATCTAGAAGATTTCAAGGAAGAAGACATAAGCCCAGGAGAGTTACTGTCAGTAGGATTGTCAGGATGCTTTGGTTTCCTGACTCATTGTTTGTTCTTGTACCTTTTGTCTCATCAAAATCATCTTTATAGGCTAATGAGCACTTTGAGATGGATTCACATCATTCACGATTAAGGCAAATTTTATTTCTCAAGAGCACTTAGAGCAAGGGAAGGGAAAAAAAACTGATACAAAAAAACTCTACAATATTAAGTGAGTTGATGAGCACTGCTTATATTACCTCCTGGAAAAGGAAAACTGGATTGCAGTGGCTGTCTCTCTCTCTGCATTCCTGCATGCTTGAGATTTCTATTTGAACCTGTTACTGAAACTTTATGAAGGCTTTATAATTAAGTTTAGTGAAACTTTATGGTGAGTCTTTATAGTGAAACACAAATGTTCTTATTGTCATTCTTTTGTCATTGATAGAATAAAAAGACAAAGCTTTATTTCCTCTTTTAATTGAAGATTTTTCTCCTCACCAGGGAGCAGTTTTTTGTTTTTGTTTGTTCTTGTTTATACCTGCATTATAGAACTTAAAAGAAATTCTAAAAAAGGAAGAAAAAATCCTTCTGCTTTCCCTTGACATCAATAGCATCTCTGTACAGGAAGCAGTGTAGGGCATGTCTTTGAAAAAAATCTTTATGCAACAGTTTTCCTTTCAGAGGATTTAAATTCTTCTTTTCAACACTAGCAGTGATTGCCTTGTGTGGATGATTTCCCTCTCAGTGTTACACATGGAGATGATCTTTCCTCGATTGGCTTTACTGCGTCAGCAGAGGATGATTGATTCCTGGGTCCAGATTTCTTGCAGGATTTGCAGTGCTTTTGTAATGAAGAAGTATAAAACTGGGTCTCAAGGATGCAAAATCTGCAGGATTCAGAAGGATTGAAACCCTCTTGATAGGCTGCCTGTTCCAAAGGTTCTTTCCTGTGTGTCTGGGCAAAGGAAGACTATGAGTTACCTTCATTCAAAAGCCATGGACATGCTCAGAGCCATTTATTGCTGACTGAACAGAGATCAGCTGAGACACTGAGCCAAGCAGCCAGCTTTTCCAAGCCTGGACAGAAATCCCTCCTGCAGGAAGCTGTTGCTGAAGCAGTACCTCGGCTGGCTGCTGAGATTTCTGATTCTGGTTGCTTGGGCAGGCAGAACCTGATAGCTGTGAGGTTACAGCTTTTGATGGTGCTGGACTGGCCTTCTGTGTGACATCAGTCACTCTGGCTTTATGGCTCATCCCTGGCTGACAGACAGCAGTGAAGTGCTGCTGAGTACCAGGAGCTCTCACAGAATCACCAGGTTGGCAGAGACCTCCAAGATCATCAAGTCCAACCCATGCCCCTACACCTCAACTAAACTCACTGAGTGCCACATCCAGTCTTTTTTTTTAACCACATCCAAGGGTGATGACTCCACCACCTCCCAGGGCAGATAATCCCAGTATTTTATCACTGCACATGCTGTAAAGGATTAGTATTGTATCTGACAAGTTCTTTAGGGGGGATGATGCTTGCTAGAAAGAGCTGCTCATGAAGGTTTTGGTAAAATTTCTCTTTTGGCACAGGTGTTGAAGTTCATGAGCAGAAACTTCTGCTACTAACTGAATATATCACATAGCAAATTCCAGCTAGGGGAGAGTGCTTTCAAGAGGAGCAAAACAGCTCCTAAGGGGACAAAGGGTGGGGTGTGTGTTACTGAGAGAAACCACAGGTTGCCTAATGCTCTTACTAGCTGGCAAAATGAAGTTGAGATCTTGTCTTTGGGAGAAGGGCAGTTATATGATGGACAGGTTTGGTTCTTCCTGTCTTTTGGAAACTGCATGGAAGAGGAAAGTATATTGCTAAAGCCTAAGAGTGGTTGCAAGGAAGAGAATTGCAAAAGAAATGGTCTGGGTTGGACCCACAGTTCTGATGAGAAATTGGCATCTGCCTTGGGGTATTGCCTGCTGGTGTCTGTCAGATGGAATTCCTTAGCTGTACTTGTTTACCAGTTTAAATCTAGAATCTTGCTTTACCCCTGAATTAAGGTATTAGCTGGGCAGTTTGCATGAGCTTGTGAGGCAGGATCACCTCTGTGTGTTGTATAGGTGGGGTAGGGGTGGCTTGCTAAGAGAGAATTCCTAGAAAGAGTGAAATCCTGGCAGAATCTGTTCTGAAGCAGTTTTTACTTTCATCACAAGAACTTTAATGCTGTCTCTCTTGGAAAGGCAATACCTCCCAAAGAAAAAAGTGGTTTAAAACCTCACCAATCTGCTCCTCACAAAATTCTGTGTGGCCTGCATCCCTTGTGAATTGGATGACAAAAATTGATTTATTGAGTTACACTTTGAGGATGTTGACCTGTGATGTTAAATTTGGTTTTGTGTTCTTATGAGTACCACAGCAGCATCTAATGATGCACGAAGATATTGTGAATATGCACAGTGGAAATGTAATTTTTTTATATGATGGTAATATCACCTAAAAAGGCTGGATTGTTTCATGGTGTGGTGGTTAATCTCCTCAAATGAATGCCTGCTGTAGAAGAACATCTTCCATCATGTGCTTTATTGCTCTCTGAGCCATTTTGGCTGCTTTTGGGAAAGAGAATCTCATCCAGGATCATGAAGCCATTGAAAGCCATATGGTCTATCCAGAAGAGGAGCTGACTGGGCATGGTGTGAGAGACAAACCTTTTAAACTGAATTTTGCCCTGGATTTCCAGACTCTCAGCTTATAGCCTTCAGCAGTCTTCTGCTATTGTTCTGTAGGTCTCTTATCAGCAGCAATGTTTGAGTGTAATACATAAACTTAAATCATGTCTGATGTGTACAAAGATACTTGTAAGATGGAGATCCCATGCCTTTTGGTGCACATCTTTCCTGCCTCTGGAGATCTGCTGCTTATTCTTTTGAGACCATTCCCTGAAGTGTGATAAAGGGCAGTAGTACAAACTGCAGTAATTTTGTTGGGACTGTATTTTTTTGAAGATAAGCAATGACTGAGATGACCACAGACATCAAGAGCTGAAACCTCGACAGGAGAGAACACAAAACACCAGTGACTTCTGCAAATACTGCTTTTTTACATCAATGTTTTTATTTAAATCTGTTGATTATTTTCTGCCTTCCTATAGTCATCCTTTTCTTTGCACACTCAGAAATACATTCTGCTACAGTGCTGACTGAACACATGCTTCATGCATTCAGTATTCTCAGATTTGCCTTGGAAAAATAAACAAATTTGTGAAAATTTTGACATTTGAAATGCAGACTTGGCCACAGACAGATGAAAATCCAGGGGCAGCTCTATGGTTGAGAATGTTACCATACTTTCAGTTAGAAATTAGTGACTTCACAGCTAAACCTTTTGAAACAGCATAAAAATGTTCCTCATCCACTGCAGTGCAAATTCATATGCTTTAGTTTAAGCTGCTTGTAGCATCTGTTTGAGATAGAGGAGTGTATTATTTATTTAACTGTTTTGTTGAAAAGGAGAGCACCCAAACAGATGTTATTGGCAGCTCGTCTGCAAGGGCAGTAGTAAACATCTGTAATATCTCTCTACCATGTGCAGTTTTTTAGAGACTGAGCTAACAGTGGCTTTGGGTACACAGCATTTTGTTTTTTCCCAGTGCAATCATTTCCAGATATGCTCTGGTGAGAACTCAAAAAGTAAAACAAAAATCAGGCAGAAGGCACATTAATAGAGAAGAAATGGTGGGGAAAAGACTGTACATAACAAGAAATACAGCACTAGAAGGGCACATTTTCTGGTGTGTTAAATGGAGGACATGTATGTGTATTGTGTAATGTGCAGACTATTAGGTACAGCTCCATTTTCTCTATAAACCAGCTGGATTTCTGTTCTAATAGAATGTTGTACATTTTAGCTTGCCTGAGATGGTGTAATGTCTGTAAGTTAGAGAGGAAGGATCTGAAGCTGGGAGCAGAACACTGAGACTTGAACTGTATTAGTAATGAGCTGCAAGCAGGAGTAATTAGGTCAACAGGATGGATGCTTTTAAACATTTTAAAGCACAGCAATAAGTAATTTTTCATAAAGCAAAGAGAGCAGTCCAATTGTGTTATGGAGAGTTCCAAGTTTTGCCTTTAACTGACTGGAAGACCATGACTCAAAAGCTGTTGGTTTAATTGCTGATTGACACAAATCTGTGATCATGGACTGTCAAATGTGATCTTGTGGCTCTGGGTGAAAACTTGGCTCTCTCAGCTTCAGGTACACTCTGGCTTTAGCTCATTTGAGAGAGGTGTGAGGTTAGGATCATGGTCTCAGTTCATGCATTCTGGCCTGTCTCACCAAACCACTGGTAATGTTGCCTCTTTTCTACCATTATTATGATTTTTTTTTCTTTTTCTGTTTTAAAAAAAGATGAGGCATAAGGAACGTTCTCGGACCTGCCCCAAAAAAGTGATCATGCTTTCTTCTTCCACTCCATCTTCCTCTCCACCGTATCCCAGGCAGCAGGTGATTCCCTCTGCATGCTCTGTCCCTTTCTCTTCATTGCTGCTTGTACAGGTGACTAGCTCACTTATCAAATAGCTTATTTACAAATACATTTCCAATTTTCTTTCTTTCAGATGCTGATAGGGGTTTCTCAACATCTTAGGTTAGGAAGTTAGGGCAGCATTAACTCACTGGAAGCATGAAGAGTTTCCACTGGAGACTGAGATTTTGCTCTAGGCAATTTTTTTATTACAGTAACCTTTCTCAGTTTTGAGATGCAGCAAAGTAGAAATTAAATGTTTGGAGTAATGCAGGGAAAGAAGATTAAACTTTAGTCCATCTCCACTCTCCGTTTAAATAGGTGTGACTGAATATTTGCCCTGGTATCCCATTTTTTAGGATTTCTTTTTTGAAGCGCTTTTTAAGTGTTGTAGTGTCCTGCATACGTCCACTGTGGTCCTTCTGTTTCTCCCACACCAGGCTCTAATCTCAGTCTGTCTGACTTTGAACTTGGAGCAGTGAGAGCTGTTCTGAGCACAGCATGTGAAAGATGTTTGTGCACATGTATTTGTTGTCTCAGTTAAATATTACCTGAAATCCTTCTAATATTTGTCTTCTTGGATATTGTCATTGTGCTTTCTTGAATTGTATCCTTTTAAATTATTTGCTTTGTTTTCCTACTTTCAAATCCATTTCTTGGTCAATCCTGAACTAGAGGTCCTGAAAAGGCAGTTGCAGTTCCTTAGAGGTGTCGTGACATCTCCTAAGGATTGTAGAAATTAATTTCCCCAGAGGTGGAGCATGTTTCCTTGCTGAGCTCGTGTATGCCTATAAACTGTAAAGGAGGATTACCTTTTAGCAGAGCAGACAAATTCTATTCTTTGGCAGAAGGTTTTACTTGCCTTATTGGTGTGATTTCTCAAATTTTAATTACATCTTGCTGCTTATCTGGTCTAATTATTGTCAGCCTCCAGGACACACATTCTTTGCTGCCTCTGTGGTGTTTGCATCTGCAAGATAGATCAGCTCTGCCTACTGATCCCACTTGAAACTGTCCTTACAAAAAAGGGGGTTGGTTTTCTGCCACAGTGTGATCAGCAGACTTTTCAAAAAGGATACAGGAGAGGACATCTAAGTAGAATGGGGGAGGAAAGCCCTTTTTATTAGCAAAACCTGCATTTAAACTGCAGTGTAATGTTATCAGACGATGTGATATAGCTAGCTGCCTTCCTTTTGTCAAAATCCTTTTAAAGTTTTGTTTGATATGTTTTAGGAAAGAAGAAGGTTTTTCTCCAACCTTACAGATAGACAACCTAAGACAGTTAAATGCTGAGTTTTACTTTCTAATCTATAGTGTGGGATTCATTTTCCATGTAGAGAAACTTGTTTTCACTCACTAAGGATCTGGTAGCTCTATATTTTCCTTCTGTCACCTCTCCAAGTGTTTGTTTGTCCTGTGTCTTTTTGGTTGCCTAGCTCAGTCATGAAAGCCAGCTACTGCCAAGTGTATTTTGACAATTTTCTATGTTGTGTCCTATGGAAGTCCTCCTTCTTTTAACTCAGGAATTTTTACCCTCTGTGCTACAGAACTGATGTTAGACTCAGTTGAGTAATCTCCTTTTGGAGGCATTCTTTTTCCTTAGAAATGATTTTTTTTTTTCCCTGAGATTGTCTTGGCCCAGGCCTCATAGCAAGTCAGATGGATCTTGTTACACTGATGTCTTTTAAAACCTTTAATTCTGCTCTTCTACTGCATTTATTCTGCCACATCTTTTAAGCTTTCCATCTCCTTCCTCTGAACTAACATCACAGTGTGGGTTATACTGAGTGTCTTGCCATCTTTATTGCACTAATTTGATTACATTGTGGTACTATGTTGTTGTTTATTGACTTAATATGAATATATCCTTTTTTTAAAAATTCCCTACAGGAGCCAACTTGTTCTTGCCAGCTTTAGAATATTCTGAATAAACTTCTGCTCTTGTTATGGCTTTTTTTCTGCCTGCATCATAAGAAAAATCAGATAAAGTGTGTTCTAATTAGGAAGCTGGTCTGTGATTGTTTTTAAGCTCATCATTTGTTGCCTGCAGAGATTCAGGGAACCTGGTGCCGGCTATCCCGGGGAGCAGAACCCCAGACAGGAAAGGGTAAAGAGCATGAACAAATGGCATGGGTGCTGATGACACAAAGCTGTGGTGGATGTGTGCAATACAGAGGTGAAATACAGGGGGTGGTGAAGCACACTTACCCTAATGCTGCTGTTAACACGCTGGAACTGCTGAGAGTCAGTCAGGAGCGATCCTTCCTGTGTGATACCCACAAAAATGCATAACAAGCCTTCATCAACAGTTTGCTATATGCTTTTATTTTGCCCTAGGTCGAGCACTTGAGCTCTTCTCATTCTTCTTTTCCTCTTACACCTCTTTAGTGAAGTATGCTGTGGCTGTAGCAGAACAAGAAGAGTTATGTTTTGTGCTAATTCATGCGAACATGGTTGCATTGTGTCCACCGCTTGCTTTCTGGATGGTTAAACAACTGGCATTCCATCTTGCCTCCTACAGGCCAAAGTAAAAGGAAAAATGATGAGGCATTATTTAGTATAGACACTTTGAAGCCTTCTTAACAATGAAATATTAGGCAGTCTGAACAGCTCAGTATTATACAGAAGCATGGGAAAAGAAAAGATGGGCACTCAAAAAGACCAGTTGATTTGAATTCATATTGACAACTTAATTGACATTCCAGTACAGGCTTTGAATGAATTAAGTCATAAATGGGAGCCAGCAATAAAACTGTTGTAACTTCCAGAATGTGTTGTAACAAAAGGCTCTTGTGGGCCGAATGTTTTGTGACAGGCAGTAGAAAATGAATACGCGTGTCTGCAAAGACACAGAAGCCCACAGCTTTATAATAGGCCCCAGTTTGAGTGAAAATGATCTAGTAGGAAGGAGTAGGTGGAACGGAAAGCAGCTTGAAAGGAGAGAGTATTATTAATGCATCTGAATGGGAAATGTGTTTCTTGTAAACTGGGTGTGAACCCAATTTTCTGTTCTGCATTGGAGGATAATTAGTAATACAGAGCAGCACCCTGGCATTATTGACAGATCAAGCCTCGGATTTCTTGATGCACATGTTTGTAGTCCCTGGTCCATTTAATTTTGTATTCTACAAACAAATTAGCTGATGGCTGTGTGATGCTGCAGTGATAGTCCTGCCTTATATAGCAGGCCACCTGCCAGGTCTTTTTTCATGTCACCAAGTGCACCACAAAACAGTTTAGGAACATTGATATGAAAGACCAGAATAGCAGAGGTGTCAAATATTGTGCCTAGGGTGTATTGACATGGTAGTGCAATAAGAACAAGTAGGACAGTGAAGTTACATAAGTAAAACTGGCAGCTTCTGTGACTGATTTTGCTGTTCTTTGCTTTATATAGACAGGCTCATTAAACATGCTCTCTTTGGCTTGTAGAGTATTTATTTTGCATGTACCACCATCTTTAAGAAATTAATTCATTCTTTATGAGAACTGAAGGTCATTACCCTAAAATGTGTTTCTGTACACAAAATCTAAGAAAAAAATAAGTACATGTTGAGATATTGAAAAGAAATCCTTGAAAATGGAGAACTGTGGGGAAATAAACTGACAAATAAGGCTCTTTATGCATTATAAAGCCACATTTTAAATTTATTTTTTGATGGTAATGCCAGAGAGAGAGGCTATGTGCTTGTTTGATATTGGCTGCAGCAGTCCTAGGAAAAGTTGTAAATAACAATTAATTCCACTGGTTTTTCTTGCCCCTGAGGGTCAAAATATAGCACTTCATTAGAAAAGTAGATACTGGGGGGTTTTCACATGAGAGCTTTAGTTACTGTTCTGCATGTGAATGTAATACCTTTAGGCTGGCATTTTGGTGTCTCTTCCTTTTTGTGCTGTTTTTTTTACTTCCTGCCTCCTTCCTCGTCTCGCAGAGATCTCCTCGTTTCTTTTCTCATGACCAAGTGCCCATGAATGTTGAGCAAAGGGCATGTCAGCTGGCTGCCCTCCTGGAGTCACGCCGTGCACTGAGGCATCAGGTGACTACAGCCCTACAGGTGACCTGTAGCAGTGTGGGATTCTGGTACAGGTGAAATCTTGGCTCAGAGAGTGAGAGAAAAAAAAAATCATTAAAAATATGATGACCACTACTCTACAGTCACGTGGTTAAAACAGCCATCAACTCTTTTGTCTTGTCATTTCTTAGCTGTTTGGTGAGTGACCCTTTCTGTTCCTCAAAACAAAATATGAACAATGAAGTAAAAAGCAGCCTCTAAACTTCAGAGTAAATGCTGAAGCCCAGCTGGGCTCTGGATCAAGTCATCTCACAGTGGTCATTTAATAGTCAGCTGCTCACAAATTTTATTTGCTTCTGGAAGCAAGAATATTCACATTTTCCAAGCTTAATTCCTGGCTCTTTAGTACTACTCTTGTGTCCATCCTTCCTGTGCAGTTGTTTCCAATGGTAGATCTGGCAGTTTGTGCAGATTGTCTTTGATTTCAGTGTTCACTTTTGTTTTGTTTTGGTTTTGTGCTTAATTTTCTCTCCAGTCTGTTGTCTTTGGGCTATGGGAGCATGCCAGTTTGAACTGTGGTTTCTTTGGTTGCTCTCTGTTTTCAGTTATCTTCAGCAGCACTTGGCAAACTGCAGAGTGCTTTTTTGGAAAGCACCATCTACAGAAGTGATTTTTTTTCATAACTTTACTGTTTTGAGTTAACCATCCCAAATCAAGCTGTCTTCTTGAGGTGGAGCATAAACAGCCCCAGAACTTTTGTTGGTGGGCATAACTTTTAGCAAGCCCTACTAAAAAGAATTTTGTGACATCTAGGTCATTTCCCATTGCTGGGTTTTTTTGGGATGCCATCTTTTTCTGATAGTTAAAATCACAGAATCTCCAAGAAGGAGCAGCAAACCTTTGAAATTAGATTTGAAATTTTGGGGACAAGCTATGAAGGCCTCAATAATAAGACTACTTTAAACATTGTGGCACCTCTTTGTTAATGGGTGCCATGACTTAATATCTAAAGCAAGATTCACAATGCTCATGTGCATTTCCTTATTCAGTTAAAATGATGATACAGAAATGAAGATCTAGACCAAAATACTTCGCTCCTACCTTTTATAGTGTTCTCTGGCAATTTTTAATCCCCTTTCTGAAGGTGTAAAAAGATTACAGCATTGTGATGCAAAGACAGCAATTATTCTTGAAATTGTCTAATTTCTGTATTGTGCAGAATTGAAAAGGAGGAGAGACTGAGAACACAAAGTAGAGGAAAGCATAAAGTGGGTAGGGCAGAGAGGAAAAAGGAAACAGATGTTGGAACACTGCGAGCAATGATGGATTATGATGTGGGATTTAAAGGAAGAAAACAAGAAAAATACTAAGAGAAGGCTTAGCAAAGTAAGACATTTTCAGAGAAGAAACTTGATTAAATGTTGATGTACAGAAAATTTTTGTATGAATAATAATATTAATTATAAATTGGGGAAATTGTGAAAGCCAAGCTCTTTTCCATTTTGCTCAGTGAATTCAATCTTGAGGTTGATCTATTCCAAGTGGTTAGAAGTAGCTATTTTCATGGGTCATGCAGATACATGACATTTAGTTTTCCTTTTTATAACTAAAACCATAATTTATTTTGCAAAGAAAGCCAGTTATTTTTTTTTAATGTGCATATTTTTTTTCTTTCCAGACTATAATTTTTAGGAATACACAGTTTCTTTCAGTGCTGTTTGTCTGATACTTCCAACTTTCAATTTTTTCCTATTTATATCAATTATTTCTTGGGATAGGCATAATTATTCAGGGAGATGATGATGAGGATATATTAGAAGATGAAATTTTGGGTTCTCCTGTGAGGAACCAATTTCAGAAGGATACAGGTTTTCAGTCTGTGGTTTATTCTTTGCCATTTGATAGTCCAGATCAGCAGATTATTTTATATTGATTCCTTATTTTTTGGTTTGGTGTTTCTAATCTGCTTGCAGTGAATTTTAGGTAGGAAATTTGCTGTTAATTACTGGAAATACATACAAGCTAACTTCTTTCTCTTCTGTCCCCCAGGAGAGCAGACTTTTGGTTTATATAGTTAAAATGTAGAAGAGGTCTCACGTGGCCTTGAAAGATGATCTTAGTGCCTTGGGCCAGTAATAGAGAACAATGGGAGATACAGAAGGAGCAGAGGAAATTGATTTGGGGTCTTTGCCAGTGGCTTAGTTGGTTGGGTTACAGGAGGTTGGACATCTGTGGAAGTAGGTAACTGTTTCCAAATGCTCCTAAATAATGTAAAACCTAATAAAGAGCAAATTAAGAATAACTACACTGCATCCCTAGGGAGAAAGTAAAGATACACTGGGTATTTTTCTCACAGTTTCCCTATAAGAGTCTTCAAAAAATTGTTCTTGAAGGTAGCCAGAAAGGCCTGGGCTGGGTTTTTTTTTAAAAATTTTTCCTTCTCTCTTAGAAGAGAACATGTATGATTGTGTTGATGTTTATTTTATGTTTTAGCCCGAGACCGAGCCGTCTCGCCGATTCTTTGTTGACCAGTGGGAGCTCTCCCTTAGCCTCCGCTCCTCCAACCGCCCTTCCTCACCCTCATCCGACTCTCTCCGCCAGGTAGCCCTCCCTTGAGCACTCCAGGTGCACTCAGCTGCCTCTGCTTGTCCACCCCACGGGACACTGGCACTGCTTCACCTGCAGAACCTCTGTGCTTATTCATCCCCAAAGGAGAAGCCAGAGGCAGCCTGTGCCTGGCACAGCTCGGGTGTTGTCAGCCCTAAAGTGGTTTGAAAGGAAATGTTTTTAACATTCCGTGTCCGTGAGAAGTTTGTGGTGCATCTCACGCTCAAACCAGGGGGTTTGAGCACTGATAGTCCTTCTGGCTTTGCAGTGAAGCTTTCTGGTTTTGCTTGCTGCTTTTGTTGAAGTTTTGGGCTAAACAACAGAATGTGTTTGTGCATATATGGTTAATGGACAGTGTGAAATAAAATGTGCTTTGGCTTTTTGATAATTCACTGAGAATTTCAACTAGTTACAGTTGTCCTACGTAAACAGCAGGAACTTGATTTGACCTAAGCTGGAGCAGGTTCTTTGCCTCCTTTTGAAAATGCTGCAGAACATTCCATCTCTTGAAAACCATAGGAAGAAAGATAAAATGCTTCACTTAATACCCATAATTAGGCCAGATGTGATATGTAGGCAAAAAACAAAACAAATCCGAAACACACAACCCCAAATGAAAAATTCAGCAAAGTAAATTTCTCACACCAAATAGTCCAAGGTACTGTGAGTTAATATTAACATATTCATTTTTTGAGCACAGAACTTCTTATGTGCTGGCAGAAATGTAAAGATCCTGAAGGATCTGCAGTTGAAGGTTTTAAATCAAAACTTGATCAGGAGAAATCTGGTTCGGCTAAAAGGAAGTTTTTCCCCTGGAAATGTTTGATCTCTCTTCTAAGAAAACTTTAAAAGCCTTAAAGGTCTCTGATCATTCAGAGGAAAGGGAGAACTCTTGGCCAAATTATGATTGCCAGTTAAAAATCAATGCTGAAGGAAATTTTAGAAGTGAGCACCATTTTAAATGTAATGTTTGACAAGATATGTATCATTGAAAAGCAACTCTGCACTTACATATGTGGAATCTGGAAAACTCTGAAAGACAAATCATTTGTTATTTCTTGCATTTAGAAATACTGCAAGTGCTCTGCCTCTTGGAATGGAATCAGTAGACAGGTATAAATTCTTTCTGGGTAGAAATAATCCCCCTCATTACTGCAGTGACAAAGAGCTTAAGGAATTAGGACTGTAGTGACAGCAGCAGTAATCTCTGGCTGAGCACTCCATTTTCATCATCTTTTTTCCCCAAAGAAGTACCCATTCTGTGATGAATTTCAGTTTTTGGGATGCTTCCTGCTGTTCTCGTGTCTGAACTTGTGAAGGTTTTACACATTGCTAAAAGGCTAACAACCACACCTATTAAATTAGTTATTAGTTGTGGGAAATAACTACTGTGCTTCAAGCAAGTTCTGCTATACACGTAAAGGGGGTTTTAAGATACAACTTTCATTTTGTTATCCTTGGCATTTCCCACTTGCTAGAAGCTGAGTGGCTGTCTGATCCTGTGTTAGCTAAGAATCCAGCTAGAAACATTCCTAATGCTGCCTAGTGTGGAAAAGGGAAGTTGCTTGGTGTGCTCTTTGCTGCTCAGAGTCAAATCCGTGGCGTTTGCAGTGTGATTGAGCTAACGTGGATGTAACCACCTCATTTTCTTAACCACCTAATTCTTGCCAACGGTTGTGTTTCCTGTGAAAAACACTTCCTCCGCTCCTTCAGTGATTGAACTTGGCTTGCAGACACTCATTTGGTACCATCTAAGGTAACAGCTGACTTGCCTAGACTGCTGAAAATACTGGAGGGTTTTTAGATATCCAGAGCTATGGAGTCAGTCTGTGCCCGTGAGGGAGAAGAGCCAAGTCATAAAGCCGTGTTCAGGGTTGAATAAATACATGTTCCAGATGTATGCAGGTATGGCTTTAATGCATTGGATAAGGCTCTTCCATCTTCTTCCATATAAACCTCCACGTATTTTTAGCACTGGAAGAAGTAATATTTTTGAGTCTCTGTGAGTTCTTTAGTAAGGGACTTCTCCCTGCTCTGTGAATGCTCTGTAAATTCATTCTTTCCAGGTGCAAAGCATACAAATACACTGTTGTAAATCAGCATGTTACATTAGATTCAGTAACATACCTTCTAGAAAGATCTTTGTTTCTGATGTCAATTTTTCCTGAAACCTCAATTCCTAACCTATATTCAGCCTCATCTTTTAGAAGTGTCTATACTCAAGTTTCCAGGGGCAAAATACCCCACAGGTAAAAACAAGATCTGCTCCCTTCATCATCATAGTATTTCTGGAACTTAAAAAAACTTAAAAAATGCAAAATGCAAGTCTTCCTGTCAGCTCCTACAGGTGGTCCTGGACTGTATTTGTGATTTCTGATGACACTGGCTTTGCTATTACTACTTGTCACTTTATATTGTCCACTGTCTTGGCATGATTTGACCTCTCTGCACCTTTTCACCACCTAACCTCTCATCATTCTAGTTATATTTTTAATTTGATTCTTTTTTTTTTTTTTTTTCCTTTTCTCACATCACACTTGTTTTATTCAACCCATCTGGTAGAAGTACATAAAGATGTACACAGGCGGAGTGAGCTCATTGGCTGAGCAGATAGCCAATCAGCTTCAAAGGAAAGAGCAACCCAAAACCCTTCTAGACAAGAAGGAACTGGTAAGACGATGTGCCGGAGATGACGCGTGTTTGTGATTAGATGTCATGTAGATCTCCAGTTTTGTGAGTGTCCAGTTGTTGCACCACTGGTGGAACCTGTCGTAGCTTTGTGAGAGATTTTTTGTTTCCCTTTTTCCATCCACCCTCACTCCTGCCCTCGTTTTCTTTGCCAAGTATTTTAATCTAATGCCAGCGTCCAAAGACTGTGCATAGTGAATTGAGAAAGCTGTTCATAACACTTCTGCACTGCTGCTCTCTGGAGGAAACACTGCTTCTGGTAATGTAGGTCTAAGAATTGCTGTTTGAGGGTGTTCTAATGGTTTTGCCTTTCTTCATAAGCTTCCTTAAGTCACTGATTTCAGGGTCACCATTAATAGTGCCGGTGTCCACTCATCTACCCAGAACTTGTTTTACTCCTGATAGATGTAGGAATGGCATCCTAGGACCTTTTTTCCTGGATGACAAGGTTGGTTTTTGGTGTCCTGGTTAAAACCGTGACTCGTGTCTGAGAACCGCAGCATCCACGTGTGAGAGAGCCGCAGCAGCATCCAGGTGCTCCTGTACCCACACAAACGAAGAACATGACCTTGGTGTGCCATCTGGACACACACAAATTCAGCCATCCTTGTTTTGCGTCCAGGGCTCTCTCAAGAAGGAGTTCCCCCAGAACCTGGGAGGCAGTGACGTGTGCTACTTCTGCCGCAAGCGTGTCTACGTGATGGAGAGGCTCAGTGCTGAGGGCAAGTTCTTCCACCGCAGCTGCTTCAAGTGCGAGTACTGCACCACCACCCTGCGCCTGTCCTCCTACGCCTACGACATCGAGGATGGTAAGGGGATGGCCTCGTGCCCACCACTCTGTCCTGGAAGCTCTTTTGTTGCTTGAAAGTTATTTGGTGAGTTAGGGAAGAGAGTAACTTCCAGTCTCCATCTCTCAAGCTGTTGGAGGTTCACGGGTTCCTTGTGGCCAGGTAATGGTGGCAGAAGAGCAGCCAAACTCGTAGGAATTAATACAACATTGTGATGGTGCCTGGAGAGGCTCCCTGGAACAGAGGCTGGACAGAGATAAAGGAATAAAGTGGATATTTATTTATTAAAAGGCCTTCAAAGGATGCACCTTGGGCAGTGCAAGAGCCTGGCTGTGGCTCCACCCAAGATGGACCCTGGGTCAGGAGTTTTCACACTTTTATAAGTTTTGGGACATTTCCATATTGGGGTTAATTGTCCAATTACAGCTTCAGGTGATGAAATCCCATCCTCTCAGTTTGCTCTCTTCAGTTTGGTGTTGTTTACACTTTTGGGCCTGAAGCTGCAGTGGTGTCCTTGGTTCTGGGGCTGGAAAAGGATTGTTTTGTCTGAGCTGTGAGGAGAACTTGCTCACACTTTATGTGAAGTTCAGAGTCTCACACAAAGGCAGTGCAGAATCTTAAAAATACGAAAGCTAAAACTTAAAGCATCATTAACAGCTGCTAGAATGCAGGGAAACAATTAATAACTGGAGGCTTTAAAAAGCTTTACAGGCTGTGTTTGAGGGCTAGACCTTTTACTCTCCTCATTTGACAGTATTTAAATAAAACTCCTGAGTGCTTAATACCACTTAAGAGAAAATTCCAAGTTGGAGAGAAATGTGATCAGCTTGTTCTTCTTGAAGATACCACAACTGTCCAACTCTGTATGTTTATTTTAGATGTAATAAAATAGGAATTTTATAATCAGGGGCTGTGATAATAAGTCATTTCAAGCTAAATTCTGTTTATATAGAAAAAATGGAACATCAAAGTTGAGTAGAGCTAAGTCAGTGTTAGAGTAGTTACTGAAGATTCAGTAATGACTCATTTTCTGTATCTGATAGACTAAAGAGAGAAGAATATGATTACAAAAACTTGCTGATGCCTCAATTTAAAGAATCTAACATGCTAAGAATTAGGAGAAGCTTCAGATATACCCTACAAATCTGAGAAACCAGACTATATGTCAGCAATTCAGAAACTCACTTTATCAACAAAGTGAGCATACTGAAGGTAATAATTTGAGATCATCCATCACCTGTGAAAAGTGATCTCCTTGCAAGGGTTCCTATGTATTACAATCTTTCTTTGAGCAGTGATTGACAAAAACATCACATTTTCTGAAGAAAACATATTGGATGGAAAGTATTTCAGGTAAATGTTTCACATCTGCAGGTATCCATTTATTTTCTTACACAGATGACTATCTTTAATCCAATCTCAGGGGAAAAAAAGTGCAAAATGGTGTAAAACTGGTGATAAGTCAGGTGCAGAGAATTCTCTTTCAGACATCATGGTGTAGAAAACAGAATAGCAGAAAAAAAGTGTTGGTACCAGTAGTTTTCCTCACTGACTGATACAAAGATGGAGTAAAAATTTAAAATTGTTGTCAGAGGTTGACGCTCCAAGATATTCTGCTGCAGACTGAAATTGATGGGTGTCCACTCTATAACTAAGAAGAATCTTTTAGTATATACTGGGTAGAAAAATGGCTGTGGAAACACCATCTGGTTTAAGGGGCAAAAAGAACTAAAATTGTGTATTCATAATGCATTATATAATGACTTTGAACTAATGGACTTGCTGGGTTGTGAAGAGTTGAGGAAACTCACTCATCAAACCAGACTCCCAGTAAGGAATAGAAACCCCTTTATTGCTTGTGTGGAAGGTCAGCAGACTTGGCAGGCAAGTTTAAAGGGGCCAGTGGTAATTTTGAAATCAACATATGAAAGTAACATATTTGTCAGAAATCAAAGTTGGGGAAAAGCATTTTTTCAGCCCTGCTGTTATTTTGAGCACTCACAAATAGCTGATTATCTGACTGACTGTTCAGCAGTAACAGACTGAGCTCCTCTGTCAGCTGTAGGGGCTGAAACAGTTTTTACCACCAGATTTTTAGTGATTCCCTGTGCAAGCATGTTTGTGTTATGACCAGATAGTTCTCAGTGAAGCAAACACAAAGCTTGGAGTTTCAGCAGGCTATCAGCATTCATTCTGAAATATTACATGCCTAAAAGTTGTATGTCTATATGCAGCAGATATGGCTAAACAGAAATCTGTGGTGTCCTATCTAATGTAATTTTTGTGAAAATGTAGCTCATATTTCATTCTGAGCTTTCTTTGAGAGGAAAAAAACCAAAGCTATACACACATTGCTGCTGTTCATCTAGCTGTTTGGGCTGACAAGCCTTCTGCAGTCAGTGTCTGGTTTTAGGCTTCAAAGTCTGAGAGTTTTTATGTAAGAGCTTTTCAGTTGTTATCATTTCAGACAATCTCAAAAAGCAGGTTTTGGTAAGAGTGAATATTAAGAAATACTCCTTGAAGTAAAGATTTGTAGAAAGATGTTTGTCACTTTCCATTGAGCATTTTGCAAATACCAGCAGAGAGAAAAGGCAGAGGTCAGAATATGTGTTGGGAATGCATTGCCAAAGCTCTAGGAATGGGATAGCAGTGGGGAGTGCCATGGGCTGCATGTACCAAGCAGAATACACTGATAAAAGTACAGTGGAAGATAATTGTGAGGCATCAGTTTGCTGCTTTTATTAGTACCAGTAGTATTTGCATGTTGGTATTGCTAATGCTGCTTTGTCTTCCTGACAGTGCTCAGATACCAGTGAAAAACCTCTCTAGATTTGTGGGGTGTTAGTAAAGCCAGCAGGATCACAAAAGGTCTTATTTGTGAAAATGAATCATTGTCCTTTCTACAAGTAGCCACTGTGCATTTTGAGAGATGGTTCTTTGGGAGTTAACACTGTCCTCTCCCACTTTCCTCTGCTGGTTGTATTAATTCTTGCTTTTTCCAAAAGTGCTTCTGCCAGCTTTTCATGTGATGATTTCTTTGTTCCTCACACACTGCCGCATTGTTAGCATGTGATACCACACAAGCCTGCAGCTTTGCTTTGGTGTTTGACAGGATTTTAAACTAAATGGCTGTCAGGCACCCAATGGAAAGGAGGCTAGTTACAAGGGCAGACAGCAGGGCTGGAGCTAAAACTTCAGCCAGTGTTTGTCTCTGCATAGAGTGAAGAAATTAGAGAGAGCAACAGGAGTGGCAGCAGAAAATAAGTTGCAGTGAGATGGACATTTATATTGTGCTAAATTCCTGTATTCCTGTTGCTGACCATCATTTGTGTTTTATCTACAGGTAAATTCTACTGTAAACCTCACTACTGTTACCGAGTCTCTGGTTATGCTCAGAGGAAGAGGCCAGCAGTGGGTCCTCTGTCAGGAAAGGTAACTCATTATTTTCTGTCTAACGTGCCACGTTAATAGATTTTGGTTCTTAACATTGAGAAAGTCTGTGTGATGGTTTGGGGTTTTTTCAGAAAGTAGAAAAATTCAGAGTGTATTTAGTTGTTTTATATAACATGAAAGCTTGCAGTTCAACTAAATCTTATTTAAAAGCAGTTCCTCTACTTAGTACTGCACTTTTCATGGTACTTATACTTACTATAAAATGATGTGCTTTCCCATTCAAAACAGAATTTTGATTTGTTTTTCTTGTCAGCTGAAATAATTTCTCAGAGTATGTTGAGACTAAATGAATAATGGTACCAGTTCTGGTTTTGCTTTGTTTCTCTGTGGTTTTACTTAAGATGAAACAAATTGTTTGCATTTCCTTTGAAACATAAAGTTCTACCCCTCTTACATAAGATGCAAAGATGACAAGCTTTCATTTCTGAAGGTCTGCTGTGTGTTAACAGGAACCTGCATGGAAAGACAGAATATCCCCTTTCCTATACTACCATAATAGAAGTATTTGTGCTGTAAATATAGGATGAAGAGACACTGTGTAATACAGAAAAGTCCCTCAGCTTTTGTCATTATAATCCAAGGCACCTAATTTTTCTCCTTAAGCCCCTTGTCAGTATTTTTGCATACACTGAGTGAGCTACATGCTGATTTCTTAAGTTCTGTTAAACTTGCATGCTGCAAACTGCCCTTCTCCCTTAAATGATATTTTCCTTTGTGCTAGCAGTGGTGCCTGTCCTCCTGCCTGATTCTCAGGTTCTATTAGTACAAGCTGAAGCTGTACTCCTTTTTGGAAGGATAATAGATCCATCCCAATATGTGCCATACTTCCTGCCAAAACTAAAGACTAAAAATGGTATCTGTTTTATTTCCCAGAGGAGCAGACCTCAGGGATCTTACTGCTTGGACTTTCTTGGCTATCCAGTTTGTTTTTGAGAGCTTTAATAAAACCTTAAACTGGGAAGGAGCACGCTTGTTTTTCAGCCCTTGCCTTATGGTGATGATTGCAGGGTATCTCAATTCCTCCCTCGGCGTGTTCAGTACACACAACAATTTGAATTTTAACGTGAATTTACCTTCCCCCACGTTCTTCCAGGACACCAAAGGACCTCTGCAGGACACCATGGCCAGCGAAGGGAACGGACGGGCCAACAGCATCCCCACCTCAGCAGAGAGGGCCCCAGGTAGCTCCGCTTCCTTCTTTAGCAGGGTGGTGCAGTACTCGCTCGGCCTCGTGGGCAGAGTTAGGGTGGTGAGCCAGCGCCTGCACAGCACAGTCTCCTCCATTGGGCACCACATAGCCCAGAACCCTCTGGACTCCTTTTTCATGTGTCAGCTGCTGGCATTTGGGGTTCCCTTTCTCTATGTGCAGTCAGAAGTTCTCGGGCAGATCCTAGGGGAGTTCTGTGGGCAGCCTGCTGACCAGTAAGAATTCATGTGACCCCACTCTGAGCTGTGTAACTCGTTTGGTTTTTGCGGTGCCATGTGAATTTTGTGTGTTACGTGGAAATCTCGATATATTATTTTGCACTGTGGCTTTGGGGCCTAGATGTTCTCAGTTCTTTCAAGGACATTATTTGAAAGAATTCCAGGAAAACACAGATGCTCGGTTGAGGGTCTCCTGTGAGTCAGCCCAGATAAAGAGCCCTGCAATGTATGCAGCTCGGTGTCAGTGAAATTTAAAGTTTTTCTGAAGCACTGGAATAGCTCACCAACTGTGATTTCTGTGTTTTCCTGAATTCTGGGTGTGGTTTCTCGTTCTCCCAAGCTTCTCTTTATTAATCTGGTACTTGAATGGGAAAGATCCCATTATCTTTGGATTGTGTCTCCTTTGGAATTCTGGGTGTCTGACAGCTAATGGGATTGGATTCCTTAAACCCCTCGAATTTCGTGGTGCTGGCAGGTCATGGTGCTCTTCCCTCTGCCAGCATCTGTGCTGCTCCTGGCCCTGGCTTTGGAAATGGGGTGGTGAATGTGTGTGTCTTACTGTGATGTAGTTTTCCCTTTTAACTTGACATTCTAATTCCTTCTAACACGAGAGAAGTGTCTGTGCTACAAATGCTCGTTTGCCCAGCCCCCAAGTGCTCCTTTTGTGATGTCAGAAAAAGGAAGAAATATTAATTTCTAGTACTTGTTCCAGAGGACTATGAATAAGCTAAATCAGCTGCTTTTAGAAAGGGAATATACCTAGGCCAATACTTTGAGAAAAGAATGTTTTCATAGTGCCAATTGAGAAGACCTTAAAAACACAGGAGCAGATAAAAATCATGGTGTTCTTTGACTTTATATTATTATACAAGTGTTTCTAAGATTGTAACTGAATGCAATCTGACAGAAATTTATTCTTAGTGTGTTGATTCTTGGAGTGTAGTTACTTTCAAGATTTCCTCTTTTGTGTGTGTGCAATTTCCATATGCCAAAAGTGAGAAAAGGTTAGGGAAGAATGATATTTGCAAAATGCTATGGGCAGATGTGTGAACTACAGCATTTTTTGCATAACTGGATAGATTTAAAACTGCTTTCTCTGAAAGTGAAAGAACTTTATTTTCTTGTAGCTTGGAGCATATTCTTAAAGATGAATAGAAAAATATATTTATTGATGCACAGGGCAACTGATGTTCACATAAGGTGTTTGTTTTGTGGAGTGAAGCTGTAGGTGGTGGTAATTGGAAGGAGGAGATTTTAATCACATTTATCAATTAGTTTATCACAGCAACTGCTGGCAGAAAATCTCTTTTGATTTAAATCAAATTTAATTGCTTTTACCAAGGAACATTCAGCAAGTAGCACCTAAATGAGTGAACAGTAGGGCATAGTTTGTGACAAACTTGTGTAAATCAGATAAAAATCAGCTATAAATCAGCTGTCTCCTTCTCTAGTGGTGGCACAATCCCATAGCAGCACTGTAGTACTTCAAGAGAAGCAAGATGGAACAGACAGCATTTTGTCTAATGGCAAGACTTGAAATCTAGAGCTCCTTCTATTTGCTTTCTGCTTTTTAAAGCAGCATATAACTGTAGCATAATGTTTAGAGCTTTTGGACCTTTTAAATCTTTGCCCCTTGCAGTGCCCAAAGTGCATTAGGACACCTTCCAGGCAGTGTGTTGTGCATTTTCTTGTGTGCATGGCAGAAATATCTTCAATGGTAGAAGAGGTGAGCAGTGCCTCTGTTGTGCTAAGGAAATACCATTAGTGGCTGAGTTTTCTTTTCTTTGTGCAGTATGATTTAAGTAAACTGTGGAACTACTGACTTAGCAATGGTTAAGAAGCAGGAGGAAGCTAAATGGAATGTACTTTAAAAACAAGCCACAGTGGCATTAAAGGCAGGTCAGTTCTCTGTTAAAGTCATGTTCTATATGTGCCTACCCTCAGCTCCTGTTCTTGCTGGGTAGCTAGGTCAGGAAACCTGTGGTGGGTTTTACAGTTATTTATGGCTTGAGAAAATAAACCTTTTTGAACTACCAAGCGCTTGAGAAAATAAACCTTTTTGAACTACCAAGCTTACCTATACAGTGGAAAACCAGGATATTATTCCTGAATAATCAGGAGTCTGTAAGATTACATCTCAATGTAACTCCTGAATTTAAATTATTTGTGTATATGCTTTCTTGCAAGCTTTCACTGTAGACTAGACAAATACTCCTGAATTTAAATTATTTGTGTATATGCTTTCTTGCAAGCTTTCACTGTAGACTAGACAAATACCTGGAGCAAGAACCTGTCTGAGATGGAGACAGGCAGGGCTCTGATTCCCAGCCTCCACTTGATCCATCTGCTCACTCACCTAGTACAGGTCATACATCTGGAAGTGTTTTACTTCCTTTAAGGCAAGACCACCAAATGGAATTTGGCAATAACAATTTCAGGCCCTGAGCTAATCCTCAGCAGTGAGGTAGGTCTTGCTGTAGGGTGTTAGTTGCCTCTGAAAGGATTAAGTAAAAGCAGGAAAGTGTGTAACACGCTCAGGTTTGATATTTAGTGGCAATGTAAAGACAGCTTAGAGGGCAAAGGGAAGGTGTAAAACAGTAACATCGACTGTTCAATATATAAAAAGGCAGCCATTTTTATATTTCATACCTGAGAGTTAAATTCAGCCCTGACTTACCAAAAGTGCTTGTTTCAGGGAGCTTTATGGTGACTCATGCAAGACCTGCTTTTTAGTAGTTGCCATGAAATCCCAACTGGATGTAAATTGCCTGGGTTTTCTCAATACATTCACTGCCCCCTTTGCTATACCACCAAACCTGTTTTAGCCAGCTTAATGCTTAAAATATATTCAACCACAAAACAGCCTTCAGCAGGTTTAGTCAGATGAGGTGAGATTGCTCATAAGAAACCCTTTCTTGTGCTGTCACTAACCTGTTTGGATTAACTTTGCTAAAGATGTCAGTCCCTGCCTGGGTGGCATTCAGTGATGGTTGCAGGGCTCAGTCTGTGATCAGTGAGCTGAGGTTTGTTCAGCTGGGATCAGCCTTTTTGGGAAGGGTTTGCTGCGTGGTCCTGCCCTGCAAGGGGAGCTTATGGAAACCTTCAGTGTGGGGAGTGGCAACAAGCTTTTGAGCAGTGGCTGCCATTCTCTCTGGGAAAGGGATGTTGGGGACAGCTGGGACAGCTCTTGCTCTGCTTTTGGTCTCACTGAACTTGTGGCATGCTTGTCGTAGATTCTGTAACTTTCTGTACCTTGTCTGCCTGTTTTTCCTCTATCTCCTGCATTTGCCTTTGTGCCAAAATGCTGCTATTGCCAAGGAAAAAAAAAAAAAAAAAAAGCCAAACAAAGAACTTTTGCTTTTCAACTGTCTCTCCCTTTGATAATCTGTAACTGCTGTGTCTTGGAATTTTTTTTTAATATTATTTACAGTACTTTATACGGTTTTAATGTGCTTTTAATGCAAATGCTGTTCTTCTGTTTGTTCTAAAGGTCTGTAAGAATGTTTCTGAATTTTCAGCTCTTCCTTGACAGATGGACTTGGAACAGTCTTTACCCCTATCAGCTTTATGATATGCTCCTTGGGGTGATGTTAGCCAGCAATGTTTTGTTGTAAAATATTTCCCATTTCAGGCTCATATTTTCACAACAATGCATTTCTGTCCCTATCAGCAATAGGAAGTTCATAAAGGGAAGACTGCCCAGGGAAACTCATACTTGTACAGCAATAAAAGGCAGGTCATGAGATATTTTGCTGTAGTTACTTGACCTGTGAAAGATTAAGAAATCAAATGTGATAGTATGAAAAACTGAAAAATGCAATACAAATTAGAGGTACCAGGGCTTTTGCTTTAATACCACATAAATACAAAGTGTATATGATATAGGTATGCAATCTAAAAAGTTAAAATCCTCCTATGGATGTGCCTTAAGTGTTTTCAGGGAGAAATATTCAGAGCAAAGCCCTTCACAGCAGACCCTTAAACAAGTACAGGTGTATAATAGCAAGCAATATACGTGACAAAATTCTTTTGCTGACTTGGAGAGCTAGGAAAGAGTGGCTGTTTCCTCTAAGTGGCAAGTCCTTTAAAATAAATTATCTGAGCCACATTTGCAAAAGGATCTTAAATGTCTGTACAAGTATAAGGAATATTTTTGAATGCATCCAATATCATTTGCACAGAATTCAATTTTGTCTGAAAAAATACAGATATGTATTTGTTTAGAAATTCTCCTTCATAAACATTGCCTCTATTGTTCAGAAGCATTGCCTCTTCACCGTTCTGCATACATTGAACATGCCTTACTTGTGAAAATGATTTAGCTCAAAGCAATACTGTTTGCTGTGCAAACAAACATCTTGATGAAATCCTTTGGTCACTTCTTTTCATTATTATTCATTCACTTTTGGGTTTTAATTTGCTCTAGTTTGAACATTAAATTAGGGAAGATAACAGCCAACAAATTCTGTGGCATGACATTCTGTTTGAGGTGCCTTCATTTTAGACCACTGAACGTTTACAAATACATCCCACTCTTTTCCCTGCCAAAAAATAAAGAAGAAAGAGGAAAACATTGACATTTCAGGATGGATCACCAAATTGGGATGAAAGCTATTTCCTCTACTAGCGTGCCTTGAATGTTGTCTGTTCTGTTTGGAGGAGCCAAGGCTGTGGGTTTGGCAGGACATGGCACAGGAGACTGAACCCTTTTTTGGGATATCAGAGAGATCTGATGGAAGATTGACTTCTCTCTGGA